GCGAGGCTGGGAGAAGTAGGGTGACGGATCGCCGGGGGAAGGCTTGAGTCGTGTACAATACATAGTACGTATCATTCGTGAACATCGCTGTATCCATCTATCTGTATCTGTATCTCATAGTGCAAGGCAAGCTTGGACATCAAACGCCCGATTTGCGTCGTTGATTGCTCGTGGTGGAAGGTCGCATATTCATTCGAGCTTGAAGATACTGACTATTGCACGATTGACAGGCTTGAGTTTGCGCCACACGGGTTGCGGCTGGCCGGCCCGCTCCACGTGGATGCTCGTGGTTGCTATGTTTGATCTGTCTTGCAGGACACGCTCATCCCTGCCACTCCTTGCGACGTGGCAGCCGGAACTGCGTTCTACGCCCCAGCCCTCAGTATCAATGAGCCTGCGCAAGGTCATAGCCAAGACGGCCTGCGCGCGAATGCCGTGTCCGGAACTCGTCTATCACCCAGACTTGGATCTGGACGACACTGTCGAGTGCCCGCTTTGTAGGCACGTCGTATACTGTGTTTTCTCTCGGTCATATGTTGCTCTTTCGGCTCGCTGAACGTGTACATGATCAGGTTCAGAACGATGCATGAGGGTGGACGACACGCATCCGAGGTGGTGTTCGCGGTTGCGCAATCTGAACCGGGTTGAGAGAGATGCCACACCGGAAAGCGGATACTCGACGTATAATGTGTACATTGAAACCACGGTAGAGAATTTCTGCGTATAATCTTTGAACCGCTTAATGTCGAAGTCCTCTGTCAGAAAACACGCTCGTTGTCTTGGACAGGCGTCCTACTCAGCTTGACAGGCCTCAACGACGGACTAGATGCCGAATGGCTCGTTTATGTCATGTATGTCTACGTTTATTGCAGGCGTACAGCTTGTTTGGCACTGAGCTCTGACCAGGAGTGCCACCCGCTGCGAAGGTTGCTACCTAACCCCAGCTCAAAAGCCCGACATTCCCGCTTTCGCCGCCTGCCCTCGCTGCGAACTCGCGCACTGGTGCTCTTCGACATGCAAAGCCGCCTTTGACCGTATACACACCCCATCGCAGTGCGATGCCTTATACGAGGCAGAGTGCGCCGACCGGCTCGAGGCTGACTGGCGGCGAATGGCCAACAGACCACAGAACTTCAACATCGCCACCGAGAGGTCCTTCCACCCGCGATACGTGCCTTTGACGTCCATTTCAGGCTGGAACGAGTACTTCAGGATCTCCGACCCGAGAGTCTCCGAGACGATCTCAAGGATCGCCGAGGTGTACGGCAAGCATGATCTGAGGAGGTCGGGACGCGGCGCGGCGCTGTTAGTCAAGGAGGCATATAGCCCCCCACTCACGATCGCGACGGCCCTCGAACGCGCCCATCGGACATGGCTACTCGAACGACGCTCTGCATCCACATCGTCGGCGAAGCACAGTACGAGCTGGGCCATCGAGGCGTGTTCGAGAACATACTGCATTACTATCCCCGCCTGCGTGCCCTCCACCTGTGTTTCGTCGGTCCGCAAGCTAGCAGCACGCCTACGAGTCCGAATAAAGCGTGCGCGCAGTGTCAACGGCAGGGAAGGGTGCGCGAGATGGCGTATGATGGAGCAGCATATCGTCGGTGCCGTTGGTTGGACCCGAACAGTACTCACGCACCGGATCTCGTTGTGGGATTCAATACGGGGATGTCCGAGGTCGACGAGTCCTCGTGGGCAAAGACCCTGGATGTTATCCTGGACAAAAGTACACCGGCACTTTTCACGGCTGATACGAAGCGCGAGGCCGATATGGAAGAGAAGATGTTGCGCGGACGGGGCGCGCACTTTGTGCAGGGCGTCGAGTGCAATAGATGGCGTGGGGTCCGCGCTATGACGCATCTACCGTGCGAGGAGGCGTTTCTGGATGGCGGGCAACACACCACGGGTTATAGTTCCCATTATGTGTATATGATACAAGGTCGCGAGCCGGGCTATCAGTCTGTGAGTGGTTGTTACGCAGCACGATGCCACGGCTAATGATGATGAAGGTCCAGCAGTGGCAGGAGGAGTCGGGAGGTTGCATCGTCGTATGATCGACCAACTTGGTCGTCATTGCATTAATGTAGGGTAACACGGCGCTCCTTATATAACATGCTTTTTTCGAGCCATCGCGAATACGTGCATTCACCCGCTTACGTTGCGAAGGCTATGCCATACAAAGAACACAAGCTGCACTCAACGCGTACCACCCTCCACACGAGTTGATCGATTGAAGCAGTCCACTTGTATTTATCTTTGGGTATCACGAAAAAAGTTCCGGAAGCGATAAGAGGTGGACTCAGAGGACTCGTAAGATGGTGGTCAAGACGAAGGCTCCGGATACGCAAGCGGATAGGTTCGCGCGCGATTGATCCGGTTCGGCCGCTTCTGAGCATGACGCGCGACTTGCTTCGGCCCACCACTACACCTTGAGCAGCCTATATACTATATCTTCATGCTTGACGAGCAGCCACGCGTGATATCGAGGTTCTATGCCGACCTCAGTCGGCATTGCGATCACTCGTTGAGTACTCGAAAGTCACATGTGCGCGCCTCTTAGGCGACCGGCGATCCCCGACAAAGAACCAACCGAATGCGGTTCATATCAAGTCTTGCTCTTGGCCGCGACGGACTTGAACATCACGCCAAGAAACTCGAGCGTTCTGCTTACACGATTGTGACCTCTCGGACTGTGCACGCTATGCTGCTCATCATCGTCGCTAAGAGAGCTTGCTTGAACTGTGCAATGCCGATCAACGTGGGCGAGGAGGCGCTGGAATGCACGGGTTGTCGGCGAGTGGTATATTGTAAGTGCGTTATCAAGTATCGGTTTAAGACGAATGTTGCGTGGCTCATTGTTGTTTGTCTCAATACAAGGCAGCGCTCGATGCCAGAGGCAAGATAGGTCGCACGGCGATATTTGTGTTCAACTCCAGCAGTTGAATGCCGAAGAGAAGCAGTCGACGCCCGCTACGGGACGCCGGACGTATGACGAGTATGTCACGGTCGTGGTATGTCCACGTCTCTTCGCAAGAACGCGGTCAGTGTAGACTGACATTGCCCAGAGCGCTTTGACGAATCCCGTCTCGAACGCGCTTAAGGCGTACTTTGGCTTAAGCTATGAGGGACATACTATGGTTGGCGACTTTGTCAAGTGCGTTGTGGCCGGCTCTCCTTCTTTGCGCACCCGGTAGCACTCACATTTTTCTCTCACCCACGAAGGCACGGCATCAAATGCGAAGGCTGCTACTTGACACCTTTCCAGAAGCCCGAAGACGTCGAGTTCACTCCTTGCCCGCGTTGTGAACTAGCCTGGTGGTGCTCCCCGGCATGCAAGGTCGACTTCGACAGAATACACACCAGCGAGCAATGCAATGTCCTCTACGATATATTCTGCACCGAGCGTATGAAGCTGGATTATGGCAACGCCCGCAACACCAACAGGTGCATCAACGTCAACACGGACCCATCTCTCCACAAAACCTACATCCCCATTTCGTCCATCTCCAACTGGAACGAGTACTTCAGGACTTTCGATCTCAAGATTGCTCTGACGACTATGAAGCTGGCCAAGGAACTCGGCGCGCACAACAAGAACGCGCAGAATGCCGTCGTGCTGCTCGTCAAGCAGGCGCATGTGATACCCCTGACGATTGCGACAGCACTCGAACACGCGTACCCGGATATGCCCAAGAGGACCTCCATCTGCCTTCACCTTGTCGGAGCGGATACGTTCGAGCTCACGAATATGGCGATGTTCGAGAACGTGCTGCATTACTTCCCTCGCCTACGCACGCTCAAAGTTTGCTTCATCGGACCCGGGTCGGCAGTCGACACCCAGTACAACTCCAAGAACAACGCTTGCGCTGCGTGTCAAAGAGCCGGTCGAGTGCGCGAGATGGCTCTACATCGCTCGGACTATCACGACTGCCCGTGGTCGAAGCCGGGAAACTCGTACGCGCCTGACCTCATCGTGGGGTTTAACACCGGGATGTCCGAGGTTGCGGTGTTCGCATGGGAGAAGACGCTTGACCTCATCCTGAAGTTGGGCGTACCGGCACTGTTCACGGCGTACTCGAAAGGCGAGGTCGATCAGGAAGAGAAGATGCTGCGAGACCGCGGTGTGCGCTTTATCAGAGGCGTCGAGAAGAATCCGTGGCGCGGAGTTATCGGGCGGGCCAATGTTCTTTACGAGAGCGCCCAGCACGAAGGCGGTCAACACACGACTGTCTATAACTCGCACTACACGTATATGATTCGCGGCCGAGAGCCATGATAAGGGTATCTTGTACCAAGCTACCTTTTCATACAAATTATGCTCTTAATCCTCACGTAGCGCAGTTTTCCAAACCTTACTACCTGACTTGAAGAGAATTTCAAAAAGATCGTTGTGCAATTAAGGTCTTCCGCTCTGCGTGCTACTTCGCGAGAATCAGCGAGGACCCGTCGAAGGTGCAGTTAGAAAGTTACATGTGCGCGTTTGTTCGCGTCGGAACGCGCTGGCGCTTCTCGGGTTGTCAGGCCGCCTAAGTACAATCTCATTCTATCCTCATCTCGGTGCGAGCTGAGGATGCTCTGCGCACAGTAAATACTGGGTCGATATGTGCTGGTGCAACTCTAGTGCGCGGTTCAAGGGCGCCCGAGAAGCATGATTAGCGCCGTGAGATCCCGCGGCGGAGGATGTGGACCGTGACGTGCGAGCGGGCCAGACCAAGATTCGACGAAGGCGAGGAGGTTAAAGACGTGGAATAGTATATGTACATCGGCGCGCATCGGATACTGTGCGTTATACGATGAGCACGACGCGCGCACCCATGTTGTGTCGGTATCTGACAATCTTTCCAGCGAAGCCTTTCGCGGATCGGCAAGTCGGCCGCAGCTGCAGACGTGAGATCGCCATTATACCCACACGCGGAAATCGCCGCTTGCTTCAGCTCTCCATTGTACCGCGCGCGCGAGATCATCATCTGGTGCGTACCAAGTGTTCGTGATCTCCGGATCCGTCTCTGAAGCTGTTACCAGCACGATGGCCGATCTCCTCGCAGCCGCGCGCGAGCATAACACGCTGGCGCCTATCCATGCTCATCTCGCGAACGAGCACCTTCAGGACATCTTCCTTGCGCTATCGCTCATTGATACTCCTTCGCTCGAACGTCCTCAGGGGTGGTTTCTCTCAGTCAACGGCGTATGCAAGCTCTGGCGTGAGATCGCTCTGAACTCCGCCGAGCTTTGGGCACGTTGTGCCGGCTCGTTCCCCTCTCAACGCATGACAGATCTTGCGATCCAGCGGGCGGGAAACGCCCTTCTGAGTTTCATCGGGCATCACGAGGACCACGAAGGACAGGGATACGCACTCACGGATTATCAATTGTTACTAGTCGAGACGCACGCGAAGCGTCTGCGATCGCTTGTGCATGATGATTATATTGATTGGTCGGGCATGTTCTATCGAGTGCGAAGCTTCCCTGAGCTGGTGACGGCGAGAATATGGGACGACTCTGGTCCTGATATGTGGAATGGGCACATAGACGCGCCGAGAATGGAATGCTTATATCTTAACAACGCGCTGATACCGTTCGTTGCGCCCAGACTTCGTTATCTGCGCGTGGACATGGACAATGTCGATTGGCGTCGAAGGCCACATGTTGCGCAATCGCCGGGAGGGACCGTACCAGATACTTGCGCCGCAGTTCCGAGGATCTTTCCCACTCGCGAATTCATATCTTTACTCCAGCGTTGTCCTGTACTTGAAAGGCTTATCGTCACCGATATGCCGCTTCTTATGGCCAAAGAGCTGCCCATGGTGTCTGAGCTGCACGCTCAGCTCCCTAACCTTCGTGGTCTACACTTGGGAGGCAAATCAGAGGCACTAGGCGACTTCTGGCAAAGACTGGAGATGCCTCTCGACGTTCAGATTTTCATTGACACCGAATATCTAGAGGATATGCCATACGGGTGGAGGTCATACGATCAAGACGCGCTTCAAGTGAAGATCACGGATCATCTGAACTCGCCTGTATATGACAGTTTGAGGCTTAAGATGACATTATCCTATGATCTCGTGTTGCAGCTCTGGTCCTCGGAAACACAACATGCGAGTAGTCTCGAAATTGATACGTCCCTTGAGATAGTTCATGAGTCTACAGCAGGTCCTGCTTTCACGTTGAGATTGCCTGTTGGATCACAAGAGTACCTTGAGAACCCTTTCGATTATGATGACAGGGGTCCCAACATCTGGACCGGTCCGGGGATTGACCTGGACCCATTTGTACACTTTCAGAATGCCATGGCCAGAGACTTCTACCGCCGTACTGGGCTCGCGATACAGCTCATGGAGTCGTCGACACTCAAAGACTTCGACCTGACAGATATACCCTATGCGGAGTACGAAACGCTGAACCTTTACGAGCCAGATGACTGTCTTTTCGTTCTCTCAAGGCATGATGGGCCGGACCGGAGCGTAACCCTCAGGTGGTCGTTGATATGCCGCATATTGGAACAAGCTGCAAGCTTGGGTATGCAAGAAGAAGGAATAGAGAGGCTAGAGAAGCTATATTTAGGGAACTTCGCGAAGATAACGATTGTCGACTTTCCTTGCGCGACTTTCCCGAGCCCAAAACGGTGCGATGAGGAGCTGAATGCCAAGGCTTGGGACACTCTGACCCTCTACTTTCGGGATCGAAAGCCGGAAAACTTCCTGGTCCTCTCAGAATCACCGTCTGAGCTGTCAAATATGGAGCGCTCTGAGGATACGGGTAGTGCACGGGCGGACCCGGAGTCCTACACGGATGCAGTCAGAGCCGTTACCCGGGAAGGTTGTCGAAGGATCGCACCGTTCGTTACAGGATTCGAGGACTTGCGAGTGCATAACCCACGGTCTTAAATTGTTATATTACTTACGTAGCACAAGGCTCAATGTGTATCATCTTCGACACGGGTAGCGATGCCAGATAATACACACTTATACGCGCCTTGGCGAAAGTCACATGTGCGCGTCGTTGATTGATCGGTTCTGGAGCCTGCGAGGGGAGACTTGACTCGTACGTCCATCTAGGACACCGTCCTCAGTCTTCCTGTTGGACTGTCAAGCCGAGATGCTATACCATAATGCTGAGACCTGGCCGGATTTGGGTCGCTTGGGTGTGCGCGCTGAGAAGTGGCATGACTGGCGCCGACGTGGGACGTGAGAGCGTGCATGAGGTTGGCTGATCAGCTAGGCGAGGGTGTAATACTCGTGCGTAGTACATAGCAGAGTTGACTCGCACGCCTCGCTTCATGTACTTATTACCCGTGTACAGTCGTACCAGCCACCTTCCGGCCGTCGCTCCCAGCCCCAGCCCCAGCCATCAACCCAACAACAACACCAGTCGCGGCAACAACCTCAAACAACAGAACTACCCCACGTTTTGCCAGCGATGCGACCTGCAAGTATAGCTCACCAAGCCACTCCCGAGATCCTTGAACACACCCTTCAGGCCGCGCGCTCAAGTTCAAACGGTCTCGAGGGAGTCATCACGCGTCTTCCCACGTCCCACCGCCACCAAGCCGCTGCCACTGCGCTCTTGCGCCGGCGTCTCTGGTCCATACACTTGACTGGCACGGTCATGATACCAGGTAGCAGCTCACCATGTCAAACCCGTGCGTGACGCGTGATGCCGCGATTGATCATACATGTGCGCATGCCGTAAGAAAGTCACATGCGCGCGTAGCTCCTCGACGGCAGATGCCGGAACGAACCAAGCGAACGCGAGACGCGCAACGTCTCCTTTCTCCCTGCCGCGAGCTCCTTTACAGGAGCGGTATACAGCACCAATACTCTCTGTCGCTCTCTCTTGACGAAATTTACTGTGCTGAACGCGTCATGATGCTCATTGTTGCCGCCAAAAGGGCTTGCTTGCGTTGTGTGAAAGCGATCAACGTGGACGACGAGGCACTGGAGTGTACGGGATGTAAACGAGTAGTATATTGTGCGTATGGCCTCCCCACTCATCAGACGCCACGACTCATGCCATACGCATCGCAACTCAGGTAGCTCCGATTGTAAGGAGCAGGACACGTTGCACGATGGTCTGTGCCGCGAGTTGCAGAAGTTGAATGTCAAGGAGAAGAAGGCGACACCGGCGAGTGGACGGCGAAGCTACGACCAGTATATCAGCGATGTGGTATGTGGCGGTATACGTTAGTGATACATCCTTCTGTGGGCTGATCGGTCCCGAACAGAGCGCGCTGGCGAATCCAGCGGCTACTTCTCTGAAGGCATACTTCGGCTTCGACTACGAGGGCCACACCCCATTCACTGAATTCGTAACGTGCGTTGGCTGTTAATTTGGGCTCTCCATGCCTCCCATACATGCCGCTCACTCGCACGACGTCTCTTACAGGAATGGTATCAAGTGCGAGGGGTGTTACTTGACACCCTTCCAGAAGCCCGTCAACACGCAGTTCACGCCTTGCCCACGCTGTGAGGTGGCCTGGTGGTGCTCTCCCGCCTGCAAGGACAACTTCGCTCAAGTACATACTAGCGCTCAATGTGGAGCACTATACGACACCTTCTGTGCTGAGCGCATGGAGCTGGACTACATGCGCATCCGCGGCAGCACCAGGAGCCTGAACATCGTCACAGACAAGGGCTACCACAAGAAATACGTACCCATCTCCTCGATCTCTAGCTGGAACGAGTACTTCAGGACTTTTGATCCGAGAATCGCCGAGACGACGATCAAACTGGCTAAAGAGCTCGGCGCGCAAAACAAGAACGCGCGCAACGCCGTGGTATTGCTCACAAAGCAGGCGAACGTTATACCCCTGACTATCGCGACGGCGCTCGAGCACGCGTATCCGGACATGCCGAAACGAAAGTCAATCTGCGTTCACCTCGTCGGAGCGGACATGTTCGAGCGCTTGAATATGGCAATGTTCGAAAATGTGCTGCATTACTTCCCTCGCTTGCGCACGCTGAAGGTGTGCTTCGTTGGGCCTGGGCCGGCGGTCGACAACCAGTACGACTCCAAGAACAAGGCGTGCGAAGCTTGCAAGGCAGAAGGAAGAGCGCGCGAGATGGTGTTCTATCGCTCCAACTACCATGATTGCCCGTGGTCGAAGGCCGGAAATTCTTACGCGCCTGATCTCGTCGTTGGGTTCAACACCGGGATGTCCGAGATGGCGGTATCAGCGTGGAAGCAGACGCTCGACTTGATACTTGACTTGGGCGTTCCGGCCGTATTCACAGCGTATTCGAAGGGCGAGGTCGCGAATGAAGAGAAGATGCTGCGTGGGCGCGGTGTCCGCTTCATCAAGGATGTCGAGAAGAATAAGTGGCGCGGTGTCATAGGAAGGGCCAATCTTGTCTATGAAAGTGCTCATCTCGAGGGAGGACAGCATACTACCGTGTACAACTCCAACTACACGTATATGGTTCGCGGGCGCGAAGCTTGAGTAGGTGCTTGGCACAAGACGGCGGGGCGCCGGAGAGCATCTACAGACAGACTGGTTACATATGTCGCATGAATACGTTATACGCTTACATACACTTACTATCGATACAATGCAGTGATTATCCGCTATGTACCACATCGTCGGCAGGCTGCGGTCGTCTGCCCTGCGTGCTGCCAGGTAGCAACCAATGCGCTAGTCGGAAAGTCACATGTGCGCGTAGTACGCTCGCGTCGAAAAATTCGGCGCCAACGCGGCTCTCGGCGGGACGCGGCAAGTGCATCTTGTCCCAGACAACGACCACTCAGATTTAGGAGGCGAACCAGGTCGAACATCACTACCTTATGCTTGGTAGTGAGATGAACTGGATGAACTCTGGCTTCTTGCGTGAATATACTCGAGACTAAGATCAAGCCCCACGCGCGCTCGATCCGAGGAATCATGATTGGCGCCCAAGCCAGCTGCCACGGTGAGAGACGGTGAGACGGAGAATCTACAAAGACCTCGTGTTCTGCGGCTTTGACTTCCTTCTGTCCACTGCGCTACGGTCCAGACAGTACGCATGTCCCGCACCTCCTACTTTGTGAGCTTCTGACGTTATCCACAGGAAGCGCGATGAACGCCACCACTGACGTCGCGCACGAGCATAACACGTTAGCGCCCATCCATCTCAGACTCGCGAACGAGCACCTCCACGACATCTTCCTTGCGCTATCGCTCATCGATACCCCGTCGCTTGACCGCCCTCAGGGCTGGTTCCTCTCAGTGAACGGCGTGTGTAGACTCTGGCGCGAGATCGCTCTCCACTCCGCTGAGCTCTGGGCGCGTAGCGCTGGTTCATTCCCCTCCCGGCGCATGACCGATCTTGCTCTCGCGCGCGCGAGCAGATTTCTCTTGAGGCTCACCGGGCATTACGAGGACCACGAAGGTCCAGGATACGTGCTCACGCCTTACCAGTTATCACTAGTCGAGAGCCACGCAAAGCGTCTGCGATCGCTTGTTCATGATGATTATTCTGACTGGTCGGGGGCGTTCTATCGAGTGCGGGCCTTTCCAGAGCTGCTAACGGCGAGGATTTGGGACGACTCTGGCCCCGATATGTGGAACAGGCCCATAGACGCGCCAAAACTGCAATGCCTGTATCTGAACAATGGCCTCGTACCGTTTAATGCCCCACAACTCCGATATCTCCATGTGGATATGGACAATGTTACATGGCGCGAAGAGCGAACCTTCTCAACTTCGGATGATAGTCCAATGTCTGATAGCCGCGAGGCGATCCCCAGGGTCTTTCCCACCCGCGAAATCATTGCTGCCCTGCAACGCTCGCCTAATCTCGAGCGATTGATCGTTACCAATATGCCAGAGCTGATAGACGAGGATTTGCCCTCTGTGCAAGACTTACATGCGGAACTTTCTGCCCTGCGCGGTCTGCACATGAGTGGAAACTCCAAGGCGACTGGCGATCTCTGGCAGAGACTATGTGTGCCTTCGGAAGCACAAGTGTTCGTCGACACCATCCCCTCCGACTTCGTCCTCTTCCTTCATAAATCATCAATCCTGCCATCAATGCAGGATTTGTTGAATTCGTCTGTATACGACTCCGTGAGGCTCAGCATGAGCCCTGCGCAGGATCTGGTGTTTCAGTTATGGTCCTCTGAAGAAGGCGGTTCCGACGGTCTGGATTTCGCAGCGTCCCTCCATCTGACGGAGTCTACGCCGGGAGCGGCATTCACGATCAAATACTCCATCAACCAGGGGGACCGGTTGACATTCGAAGACTTTCTCGAAGAAGAGAGTAAACGGTTGACATACGACATGTATCGAAATCCAGATCCCTACATAAGATACCTGACCAAAGTGGCCGACGTGTTCTACTTTCGGATGATGCACTTGTTGCAGACATTTGACTCTCCGACGATCAGGAATGTTGACCTGACCGATTATCCGTATGGAGATCAGCGCCAGCATGTCTACCATGGTGTGCCAAGCACCTCGGATTATGACAAGCCAGATGCATCCGTCCTTCATCTCTTTCGTCCGCCGGATAACTATCACTTACCTCAAACCAACTTGATACTGAACTGGGACTTTCTCAGAAACCTGAAGTCCAGAAGCAGAAGCAACGCACCTGATAGGCTACCGGGCTTCTATGTCTCAAACTCGGTCAGGGAGTTGACCATAGTGAACTTCCCTTGCGCTTCATTTCCCTGCTGGAAGAGGCATGACTATGAGTACAACGAGAAAGCCTGGGATGATCTGTGCAATGTCTGTCTCACGTCTTTCCGATATCGCCTGAAAGAGGGGGTCCCTCCACTAATACTGAAACTGGCTGAATCCTCGTCCGACATGTCCAATATGGAGCGCTCTGAGGAGCCGGTGTACAAACATACAATCCCTGGGTCATACGAAGATGCAGTGAGGGCTGTTACAGAGAAGGGGTACCAACAGATTGCTCCGTTTGTCTCGGATTTTGTAGATGTACGGATTCACAGTTGGCTTTGATGTCGATGACATAGCACTTCACATCTGGATGACAAGTTGTACGAAATATATTTGTTGGGGCGGCTCAGTACCTACCAGATGATACCTAAGCACTGATGGCAAAGAAGGGGGACTACAGAGGCGCCACAAGAATGTGTGGGGAACTTCCAGAACAGGGAAACGCGGTCTTGTGTGATGACGTGAACTTGAAGAGCTTTCAGTAGCATGCTTGTGGCAGCTAGCGGGGTAAAGCCGCACGACAATAAAAGAGCTAGCACGCGCCGGATTATGTCGTGTCGTTTGCATGGGCCGGAAACGCGTCGCTGCGGTAGCGGCGCACGAAGTGGGAGCGGTTCAAGTTGCTTCAACACTGCACAGACGCGTCGGCGTATCCGGCCCGAACTCCTGGTTGGCGACGTGCCGGGTAGTTGCATCTGTGGGAAGCTCTGTACAAGTATTCTGAGCCTGCTCGAGTTGCGATGCTGCATGCACTGCATGCATTGGCGTTAGATGAACAAACTTGGGAGGGTCGATATGCGCTCGCGCGGCGCCGCGCTAGTCGCTCGGGTCGCCGTGCGAGGACAACCCCCAACTTGCTCTCAACCACGATGGGATCCGGCGCGCCCCCCATCTCCCCTCATCCGTACCTACGCGTCGGCCGAGGATGTTCCACGCACGGAACCTACTGTACTGGGTCCATCCCAGCGCGCGGTCTACCGCCCTGAGAAGTGTGATTGGCGCCGACGTGAGTTCCCGCGGGGAGGGATGTGGGCGGCCGACGAGACCAGGATTTGCCGAAGGCGAGGAGAGTTGAGACGTGGAAGAGGATCTGTACGTTGGCTCGCGTCCAGTACTTTGTCTATATACGGTCCGTGTCTTATATCTTACAATCTTTCCAGCAAAGCCTCCCGGCCAGTCGGCCGAAGCTGCAGATGTGGGATCGCCATTCACACGTCGAGGATCGCTACTTGATTCCGCTCATCATCGTGCCGAGTGCGTAGGATCGTTGATTTGGTGCGTACCCAGTACCCGTGATCTCCGGTCTCGTCTCTGAACCTATCACCAGCACAATGGCCGATCCTCTTGCAGCCGCACATGAGCACAACACGCTGGCGCCTATTCATCTCAGCCTCGCGAACGAACACCTCCGAGACATCTTCCTCGCACTCTCCTTTCTCGATACTCCCTCTCTTGAGCGCCCTCATGGGTGGTTCATCCAGGTCAACGGCGTCTGTCGGCTTTGGCGCGAGATTGCCCTCAACTTTGCCGAGCTCTGGGCTCGCAACGCTGGGTCGTTTCTCTCCCGTCGCATGGCCGATCTTGCAATCGCGCGCGCCGGAAGATCTCTCCTGAGCTTTGCCGGGCATTACGAGGATCATGAAGGTCCTGGCTACGTACTCACGAAGTATCAACTGTCGTTAGTCGAAGCGCACGCGAAGCGTCTGCGATCGCTCGTTCATGATGATTATGTTGATTGGTTTCGAATGTTCAATCGAGTCCGAGCCTTTCCCGAGCTGGTGACGGCGAGGATATGGGATGACTCTGGGCCATACATGTGGAACGAGCACATAGACACGCCCAAGCTTGAATGCCTATATCTGAATAACGCGTCGTTACATGCGCGTGGACATGGATAATGTCGATTGGCGCCGAAGACCCAATATTCCGGGATCGCCGGGAGGGGCCGTGCCAGATACTTGCGCGGCGGTCCCGAGGGTCTTTCCCACCCGCGAATTCATCTCCTTTCTTCAGTGTTGCCCTGGCCTCGAGTGGCTCATTGTCACCGATATGCCTCAGCTGATGGACAAAGGACTGCCCACGGTGTCCGCGCTGCACGCTAAGCTGCATAGGCTTCGAGGCCTACATCTGGGAGGGAAGTCAGAAGCACTGGGCGACTTCTGGCAAAGACTAGAGATACCCTCACATGCCCAGGTCTTTGTCGACTTCGACTTTTTTGGCAGTCCTGGGTCAGGCGGGACCGCATTCGACCAAGAAACGCTAGCGAAGGTCGCAGACCACCTGAACTCACCCGTGTATGACAGTTTCAAGCTTGGGATGACGCTATCCTATGATCTCGTGTTGCAGTTATGGTCCTCGGAGATGCATGGGGCTGTCAGCCTGGACATAGACGCGTCTCTTGAGCTGACCGCGGATCCAGCGACGGGCGCCGCTTTCACGATAAGAGCGCCTATCGGTTCACGGGAATATCTCGAAGGTTTTGTTATTGATGAATCCGAACCGTCTCCCATTTACTGGGGTGCGAACATCAAAGACCCATACCTGAAATACCTAAATGAACTAGCCAGGGAATTTTATTATCGCACCAACACACTGATATGGGAGCTCAAATCATCCACACTCAAGTACTTTGACTTGGTGGATCTTCCGCACGTCGCACCCGAGAGGGGCATGTGGGGTAGCATCAATGATCCAGATAAGTGTCTCGACCGCTTGTCCTCGCTGCAGGTGGCGGGAGTGGTGACTCCCGTGGCATCCCGGAACGTGACTTTCAGCTGGTCCCTGATATACCGCGTCTTGGGGGACCTCAAGAGTATGCGGGATAGATACTTCGCCGATTGTGGGAGCATTACGATCGTCAACTTTCCTTGTGCCTCCTTTGTCAGTCCAAAGCGATACGACTCAAAGCTCAATGCGGAGGCTTGGGATCTTCTACGACGTTATTTTGAGTCAAATAGACTCAAGCACTCGTTGATTCTATCTGAGTCAGTGTCCGATATGTCGAATATGGAGCGTTCTGAGGAGCCGGACCACGGATGCGGGGACCAGGAGTCTTACGATGATGCAGTCAGAGCCGTTACCCAGGAAGGTTATCGACAGATCGCCCCTTTCGTTACAGGATTCGAGGACTTGCGAGTGCATAACCTGCGCTCTCGGGATATCATGTTGCCTATGTAGCATTAACCTCTGCTATATATTTTACTCTCGACACGCTCTGCGATAACAACAGGCAATGCGGGACCGAAGCAAGAAGACATTCCGCGTAAGCACTGTCCACCACGACCTTCAAAGTGGAAGTCACATGTGCGCGTTGCTGTTGATTGATCGGCCTGAAGCCTAAGATGAGAGACTTGACTCGTACGTCCATCTGGGACACCGTCCTCAGTCTTCTCCTCGAACTATGTAGCTGAGGTGCCAGACCATGACGCTGAAGCGCTGAAGCGTGGCCAGACTATGTTGCCCGACTGCGTATCCCCAGCACCCTGAGAAGCATGATTGGCGCCGACGTGAGGCAGACGTGAGAGCCGCCATGAGGCGAGCAGACCGGAGTAGGATCGCAATTTGCGCGTAGGAAATAGCGCTCTCTACTCGCGCACCACGCCCCGCGTACTCACGAGACGCAGATACCTGTATCGTTCCGTCTGATACTTCAGATGCCGATGCACGACACCATTAGCGCCGCGCGAGAGCACAACACGCTGGCGCTCATCCACATCAAACTCGCAACCGAGCACATCCGCGACATCTTCCTCGCCCTATCACTCATTGATACGCCTTCTTTGAAGCGGCCTCAGGGCTGGTACCTTCAAGTCAATGGCGTATGCCGTCTCTGGCGCGAAATCTCTTTGGACTTCGCTGGGCTTTGGGCGCGCAACGCCGGCTCATTCCCCGCTCGACGCATGACGGACCTCATGATCGAACGTGCGCGAAAGCATCCCCTGAGCTTCGAAGGACATTACGAGGATCACGATGGCTCGGGCTACGTGCTCACCGACTATCAGCTATCGCTCATTCCAATATACATCGCGCGACTACGCTCCCTCGCACACGACGAATACACCGATTGGTCAGACCTGTTCTATCGCTTGGGCGCCTTTCCACAATTGGAATCCACAAGGATCTGCGACGATTCCGGCCCTGATATGTGGCATGCGCGCCTTGATGCGCCGAATCTGCATTCTCTCCACCTCAACAACGCGTTGATCCCGTTCACCGCACCCAAACTTCGATATTTGCGCATTGACATGGACAACATTGACTGGCGTTCGGAGAGAGACATATCAGGGTCCTTCGATGAGCCCATGCTTGACAGTTGTGCGGCAATCTCACGGATATTCCCGACTCGCGATTTCATCGCCTTCTTGCAATGTTCGGCGACATTGGAACGCCTCATTGTTACCGATATGCCTCTGTTGATGCCGAGGGACCTCCCCACCGTCTCAGAGTTGCATGCTCGACTTCCACGTCTCCGCGGGCTGCATCTCAGTGGGAAGTCTCAGGCGATGGGTGATCTATGGCGAAGGCTAGTGACGCCGCCCGATACCCGAATCTGCGTGGACCGTATCTCTCCACCGTTTGAGTTCTCTGATATAGAGATCAGATATGCTGTGAGAGACATGGTAGATGCGTCCGTCTACGATAGCATGAGGCTTGCGATGACATCTTCCTATGACATCATGATACAACTGTGGTCGTCAGCATCACCTGGTGCCCGTGGTCTTGAACTTTCCGAATCACTCCAGCAGGCAGGGTCAAGAGAAGGACCTGCTTTCACGCTAAGGGAGCCAGTTGGGTCGCGCGCACTGTTACAGACGTTTCCAGATCCCGAAACGGGCGAAGGCAGTCGGTATGGGATATCTTACGTCGAAACTCCCCATGTCAGGTTTCAGAACGATATGGCCCGGCAATTCTATGGACTCGTGGGCAATATGTTTCCCTACTTCTCGCTGGCTAAACATCTCGATCTGACCGACATACCATATGTGGATCACAAACAGAACTACACTGCGGGTTACGAGAAGACCGATCATCCGATGGCTCGCCTGTTCCGCGCACCGGACGGATCCCTCTCGCCGCGGAGGAGCGTAGTGCTGAATTGGTCCTTGATCAGTTGCATACAGTCCAAAAGCAGGGTCAACGCACCAGGCAGATTGCAGGAGTTCTACCTTCCGAACTCCGTAGAGGCTCTTACGATCGTCAACTTTCCTTGTGCTTCGTTTCCAAGTATCAAGAGATACGATAACGAGGTCAATGAGCAAGCTTGGAACGACCTGCTCGACGTCTGCAAGGCATGCTATCACTCTCGTCTACAGGCTGACATCCCTCCCTTTTCCTTGAAGCTGGCAGAATCTTCATCCGAGATGTCTAATACAGAGCGCTCGGAAGAGTCAGAGTACGAACATACCTTCGAAGGGTCGTACGAGGATGCGGTGAGGGCTATCACCGAGGAGGGTCGTCAGTGGATCGCTCCGTTCGTCGCGAGCTTTGAAGATCTGCGCATTCATACTTGGCCCAACTAAAGCTCTACGGCTTATATGGCTCACTACTGCTCGTAGTATACATCCCAACAGCAAGGTGTGATGCCAACATCGTGAACTAATTCTTCGCATTGAACCCCAGTCGCGCGTGACGCAAGGTTGCTTCGGCCCAGATAAGCCAAACAAATGCACCCATAAGCTTCAACAATAGACTTGAACGGGCGCAGCATGGCGGGTACCACGTCCTGTGGGAGGCTGGAGAGTGAAAGAAGGGCGATGCTGCCCACACGAAGTCTAATTGGATGAGCTGTAGTGCATCAGGGTTAGGGTTGAAACGTTGATTCCGTGCCCTAGCCGGGCCGTCCCGACGGACTGCTTGGCGGCGGCGGACGACGGCCAACGCGTATTCCAATCTTGAACGGGGACCTCATCCTGAACTGAGAACATGGAGGTCAGAAGAACTTTTGACTGGCGCTTATGAGTGTCGTGCATTGGTCGTGGGCGAGCAAGCCCGACCCAGGCCATGAATGTGGGAGCGCGATTCGTCCGATCCTCCGTCATCCCGCGCGCATGCGCACGGCTTGCTTTAGCCCTCCATTTGCATCGTGCGGAACGCGTCTTCTGAGTACGTACGACGTATGTGCACTCATGGTACTCGCATCTGAAGCTCTTCCAAGCTCGCACGATGGGCGATGTGGTCATCGGTGCCGTGCGGGAACACAACGCTCTGGCGCCTATTCACGTCAAGCTTGCAGTTGAACAGATCCTCGAGATCTTTCTAGCTCTATCAGAGATTGATATCCCAACTCCATCGAGTCCTCAGGGGTGGTATCTCCGTGTCAAAAGTGTATGTCGTCGTTGGCGCTCGATCGCTACGAGCTCTCCCGAGCTATGGGCGCGCTGCGCTGGCTCTTTCCTGTCTCGGAACATGACCGATCTCGCGATACAGCGTGCTGGCCTTAACACCCTTCTCAGTCTTGATGGACATATCGAGAACACAGGCTCGGAATGCGTGCTGACCGAGTATCAGCTATCGCTCATTGAAACACAACTTGAGCGTCTATGTTCCTTCGTGCACGAGAAGTATAGAGACTGGTCAAGTCTGTTTTATCGCCTGAAGACGTTCCCGAAGTTACAATCAGCGAGGATATGGGATGATTCCGGACCCGAGATGTGGTCTTGGCGTATCAATGCACCGCTCCTGCAGTCCCTTTACATGAACAATGCCCTCATCCCCTTCGATGCGCCGAAACTTCGATATCTACGCGTGGATATGGACGATGTTAACTGGCGTCAACCACAATACACACCCGAATCGGACGACTCTGACTCGCCTATGTCCGACGGTTGCGAACTCGCGATCCCAAGGATCTTCCCCACTAGTGACTTCGTGGCTTTCCTGCAGCGTTCACCGTGTCTTGAACGGTTGGTCGTCACCAACATGCCCCCACTGATCACGAAAGGACTGCCGACTGCGTCGGAGCTCCACGCAAGGCTACCGCACTTGCGCGGACTGCATCTAGGAGGGAAATCTCAAGCGATGGGTGATTTCTGGCAGAGACTTGATGTCCCACCGGATGTCCAAGTGTTCATTGATACGGATTACCCTCGGGGAGACAACCTTGACCCAGAGATGTCTGAGAAAGTGATGGATCACTTGAACTCGCCCATGCATGATAGCCTGAGGCTTTCTTTGACACCGTCCTATGATATGCTGATTCAGATGTGGTCATCCGAAGCTCATAATGCGTTTGGTTTGGATCTGCCCGCCTCACTTGAACTGATGTCCGGTTCAGCAGGGGGACCTGCGTTTACCTTGCGGGTTCCGAGTGAGAAGCTCGACGTTCTGGAATCATTCCTCACCCAACAAGAGGATCTATTGGACCTTGACCCGGTCGAGCAGACTGCTGACGATCTGTCGCTCAAATTTCGACGAGACGTCACTATGCGCTTCCACATGCGGGCTTCCCAGCTGATCAGACATATGCGTTCTCCAACGCTTCGTTGCATCGACTTCACAGACTTGCCGCTCATAGATCCAGTGATCGTCAGTCCACAATTGACTGCGTGGACGATCCCGATGAAGTTTGATGACTACTTATGGGAGCTTTATCGAGGCAGAACGCGCATGGGCGTAATTCTTGACTGGTCTTTCTTTCAAAGTGCACTCGAGCGCAATCGAGCACGTGATTTCATCCCACGCAATGTTTGGGAGGTGACGATAGTGAACTTCCCTTGTGCTGCGTTCCCAAGTCGCGCTAGATACGACGAGGACTTCAACGCGAAAGCCTGGGACAAACTGTATAGGATGTTCTTCCACACCCACTGGGATCCTCAGGGGTATGAACATCGATGGCATCACTATGACCATCTTATGACATTGAAATTGGCCGAGTCGAGAACCGAGATGTCTAACATGAAGCGTTCCGAAGAGCCGGAGTACAGGCATACGTTCCAAGGGTCGTACGAGGACGCAGTCAGGGCAGTGACAGAGCAGGGCTACCAGCGCGTCGCCCCATATGTTGCGGGTTTTGAAGATCTACGTGTCCATAGTTGGCCTTACTATTGATCATACATGATCCACGTATCGACTAGCACGCCGGTCAGTCGCACGTCGTGGAGATTTGGTCGAAAGTGGAGAGAATGGAATCCGAGTCGGCCGAAGGTGAACTTGAACCTATTTTGGAGGTACCATGCCCGAGGGGGGATCAGTTTGGTCGAGCTCGATTACCTGCACTCTGAATAGTGTTCCACCGCAAGCGAATACTTGAGCGCATTAGGAAAGATTCAATCTTGTCAACGGAAAGTGCTCTGAATGGATGCGATGGGGGACGGAAAGAAACTTAGAAAGGCGTTCGAACGCCAGCGGCTGTGATCAGCGTAGACGCGTGACGTCATGCGGCCCGACGGGTCTGAATCCGAGCTGTCCGAGCGACCTTCTCTCGCCCGTTGCCCTGCTCTTACCTACGTTGTGGATAGTCAGCTTCTGCATATCATGTCACACACAGAGGGAAGAAGCGGGCTGCGAAAAGGAACAGTAGTGTACAAGCGACAAGATACAAGGTCATGCGGGCACTGAACCAGAGTACAATAGCGATACAGGCAATAAACATCATGTCAGTCGCACAGGTTGCGCACAACCTTGCGTGTTCAAGCTGGGAATAGGTTCTCCATCCTCGCCCTACCGTTGTCCAGCCATTCCTTCTTCACCAGCTTCTCCTTCTCCTCGAAGTACAGGTTATACACCGAACGGACCGTCTCCTCCGACGCACCCACAACCTCGCGGATGTCCTTGAGATCCTTCTGGATGGCGAGCAACCGACACATGAAGAAGATAACAGCGCCAACAATCGTGACAGGGTCACGGCCCTCAGCTATTCCGAGCTCGCGCGCAGCAACGATCACGTGCTTGCAATATTCCTCGGTGTATGGCGGCATAGCGAGGTGGTTGCAGTACCGCACAAGCAGTTGCTCCGGCACAGATTGCGGCCCATCTGCGTTCGCTTGCAAAAGGAATGTCTTACTGATTGCCGTGAAGCAGTTTCCCAGCGGCTTCTTGCCGACCCCCGTAAGCCGGGACATCTCCTTGAACGTCCTCGATACACCCGCTTGTCGGCAAGCAACGAAGATACAGGCCACAATGGAGGCATCCATTGGTTTCCCGCGGAAAATCTTCTCGTCGTCGCATTGCTTGTACAGGACCTTGGCCGTATCCAAGACGGTCTTGGTCAAGGAAAGCTGGTCGCACATCGCGGTGATGTCCTGAAAGGCGGAGACAAGGCGAGTAGATCCCGAGTTCTGTGCGCGAGCAGCGGCGCGTTGGAGGTCGCTCGCCACGCCGGAGCCGCCGTCCTTAGAGCTGATGACGGTATCAAACTGGCCCATGCCGTCGAGCAGCGGATCCGACGCGGCGCCGACGCGCGATGGGTTATCGCCCTCGTCGTTCGAGAATGTGCGCCATTCGCTGCGCGTGTCGACAATGCGGTCGCCCAAGACAAGCCCGCAGTCTCCGCATACGAGGTCTCCGCTTGCGAACTCCTCCACGATGTTGGGGCAAGGGTTCCTGCAGTCCGGACAGATGAGGCGGACGGCGAGATCGGGACCATAGTCCGGCTGCTCAGGGCCTTGGGGTGCGGCGAGCGGGAAGAGAGATGTAGCCATAGATATTGAGCAAGTTGCGGGGTTGGTACTGTTGAGTGAAGGCGAGGATAAGACGAGGGCAGGATGGTTCAACCAACGGTAGTGCCGCTATCGGTATATATTCCTTTCCAGACAATGACACCACACATGGTCCAGGTAACCAATGCGGTGGTTTGGCCGAAAGTGTATTTTCCGTGGTTTCAGGGGGACCTCGTTGCCACTTCGAACAAATGGACGTGGTTGAATGATTGTGTAAGTGGTTCAAGGTAGGACCACAGGAAGGTCCCTCGTTTGGGACTGTATTGAGTTCCGGCGGGTCGTGCCTCGCGTGAAATCAGTCATACACGTCTTACATGAACCATATCGGGTGACGCAAACGATGGAGAGGTCCTTCAGGTCAGTGAGCATGCCATGCGCTGCTGAAGAAGATGTGAACAAAGTTAGTAGACGAGCGTTGAGCGACATCTCGAACGAGCCCTATTCACGTTCACGGACCATCAAGTGTACACACGTTGTCCAGTCCTGTCATGCATGGTCGCGATGTACCCTTGACTCTGCTCGGTTTCTATGAGTCCATCCTGTGGCAGATCTTCCCTGAGCCTGGTCACTACTGCTATATCAGATAGAGTTTGTACGCCGAGGAGAAAGGACACTCACAGCTCGCATTCCGATAAGGGACACGTCTCCGCTGATCGTAGTGACAGCCTGGCGTCACTCGCGCTTCAAACCTTGCCATGTCACTCACCACTCCCGAAGAGGAAGGCGCCTCCCTATATAAGCCTGAGCAACATCGTACGGCGCTCTTCATCTTGTACCACCACCAGAAGTAGCGAAGCACTATGAACTTTCCTCCGCTTCCCGCCGAGCTGCAGCCCAAGAGCCTCATTTCTGGCACATTCCTCCAAGTATCCGGCCAGGCGTGCGAGTCTTGTCTTCGCAAGCCTACCACCGGTACGCTCCATCGCTGCGCTGCGTGTCGTAGGGTCTCCTACTGTAAGTCAGAGGACATCTAGTGTACGGTCAATGACTGACGAAAACGTACGACTAGGTAACCGCGGCTGCCAGATTCAAGACTGGTTCGAGCATAAGAGCCTTTGCTTGCGTCTGCGCCTCTTGAACGCGACCGAGACGGTCGAGCTGATCCCTGGTAATGTTTTGTCCCTCGAGGAGTACGAAGAACAGAAGGTCCGTCCGTTTCCTCATGCAACAGGCGAAGTCGAGCCTGACATCTTCCTTCTGTGTCAGAAAACGCGGATCGCCCTCCTCACCGAAGTCGGCCTCGGTGGTACCCCAGAGGACGCCGCATACGCCGAGTAAGGACTGTATCTCTCCTTTGCTGGATTCGGGCGCTAAACGTCCCTAGACACGAGGTTAAGTGCGAGGTGTGCTTGCGCACGCCCTTCCAGAAGTTGCTTTTCCAGAAGTTCTCAGACTGCAAGCACTGCGGTCTAGCCTGGTGGTGCTCGCCCGAATGCAAGGCCGTCTTCCGTACCGTCCATACTCGCCAGCAGTGCGACGCCCTCCGCGAGGTCCACTGCGCCGAGCGCTTCAACATCGACTACACGCTCAACCGCCGCACCATCAGAGCCATCAACTTCGTCACGCCGAACCCGCGCACGACGTACATTCCCTTCTCGTCGCTCAAGGGCTGGGACGACTACTTCGAGAAGCACTTCCCGGAGTACGACAGCTGGACTGTCAACGGCGCCGCCGAGTTCGCCGCTGGTAATCCGGATTCCAAGGTCGGCGTGACGGCTCTCACGAAAGGGGCTATGGTTTTCCCACTGACCATCGCCTCCGCGCTCGAGATCGCGTTCCCGGATATCGCGACGCGCACTTCGCTCGTCATACACGTCGTCGGCGCCGCCCGCCGCGAGTTGCTGTCGCAGGCCACGCTCGAGAACATCTTGCACGCGTATCCGATGCTGCAAGAGCTCCGCTTCTACTTTATCGGTCCTGAGGCCAAGTCCGACCCTCTCCCGGACAACTTGGCGTGCAGCAAGTGCATCGCGAACGGGCGCGTCCGGCAGGTCCTGTACGCGACGGGCGAGTACCACGAGTGCCAGTGGGCACTCTCGGCATCCGGGCCAAAGATCAACAAGCCCGACTTCATCGTCGCGTTCAACAGCGGCATGCTCGAGTCGGAGGCGTCGACCGCCTCTTGGGGCCAGACTGTCAAGCACATCCTCGATTCGGGGGTCCCGACGCTCTTCACGGCGACCACGCGCACTAACGCGCTTATGGAAGTCGGCGCATTCCGCGCCGGTCGTGTGCGCTTCTTGTCGAAGATGCAGAAGAACAAGTTCCACGGGCCTGTCCATATCCCGAATGCGTATCAGGCAGAGGAGCTGATGGAAGGTGGCCCGCATACGACTGCGTATAACAGCCACTACATGTGTGTTGTCAAAGGCCGTTACGAAGGTTGAATGTCGATGATCGCCGGACCGTATCTTCTTGTATTGGGCAGCCTGAAGTGCCCTCGAGCCTGCACGTATATCGTTGTTATCATCTGCTCCGAATGATGATTGTCGTTGAGACGTACCGGTTATCGTGTGCCAGTGAACAGGGTTATCGTTGCTTCGCCGATACTGCTTCACGTGCATTGTAGCGAGAGGTTAGTTCACGCAGGTTTGGCATTGATATAAACATTGCATTGCAGGGAGGACCACAGCGAGTAGAGTAAGTGCATGATAATCTATCACAGAAGATAAGAATGCTCAGTTGCAGAAGGAGTCTTATTGTTCGCAGCTTTTGGAATTAAATCGTAAGGCAAGAGGAGATTCGAACTCGTCCGAGAACACGCAAGAAAGGGAAAGAAAGGTCAAGATTACGAACGATGAGGCACCTTTTGAGCCTAGAGAACTTCTTGAGGCAATGACGTTTACATCTGGCTGGGCTCGTCCTTGACCGGCTCGGGTGAGGCGTGGCCATTGGGAGCGTCGACGTCCTCGACCTTGGTGTCAACGTCACGGTCGTCGCCACGGGTACGCTCGCGGTCGTCGTCACGGTCGCGGCGGGGGCTGCGCTCGCGGTCACGGTCATCGCGGTCCTTGCGGCGGGAGTCGCGGTCGGGAGTCGCTGAGCGGCGGCGGGGTGAGCGCGAGCGTTCGCGGTCGCGGCGAGGGGAGCGGCTGCGACGGTCGCGGTCGCCACGGTCGCTGCGGTCACGGCGTGGGCTGCGGGAACGCTCGCGGTCCGAGCGACGACGGGGAGGCGAGCGCCGCTCAGGGCGCCAAGCTGAAGAAGGAGGGTGCTTAGCCCACTGGAAAAGGAGGTTGAGTCAGTATCTGTCTGTTATCCTAGTTTGATGTGAACACCAACCTGTACACGGAGCCGCGAACCCTCAAAATAATGGCCATGCCTAGAATCGCTCAATTAGATGCTGTGAAATCATATCGTTCACAAGCGCTTACATTTCATAGTGAGCATCGTCGGCGTCCCGGGACGAGCGAAATTCGACGAAGGCGTAGCTGGGGGCGACATGGGTTGAGCGACGGGACGAACAAACGGTAACGTGGGTTCGAGCGAGCGAATCGAGCGTCAAGCGCGCAAGTCGTGTTCGATCGTACTTGGAAACGTGGTCGTGCGTATCGCAACGTGAAGAACGACGGAAAACTCGACTCGGACGGTCGTATCGTGTGTGGCGCCAACTCGTGCGTGAAGCGACTCGACCAGCCAGGGAACGCGGGGACGGGCTGAAAAATGTCAAGAAAATGAACACCTACGGGTTCGAAGTCGTATGGGCGTTGCGTGGCGCAGGGACGTCGCAGCGGATCAGAGGGCCATAGCTATGCATAAAGTCAGTAATAGCAACAATGACGCGTATCCCTACAACTGACCGTTCAAACTCGTGAGCAAGGTCACGAGCACGGGTAGAGGGGTGGAAGCCAGTAACGTAGAGGATACGCGGCATAGTGGCGGAATGTCGATGATGACGGCGGGAAGCAAGTGAGAACGTTGACGCGCGCGAACCAGACCGTCGCGTGGCGTATTTTTCGTTATTTGTCGTCACCGGCCCGACGCCTCCGAGCGTTTATTTATTCTCTTCGGCGGCTGCGCTCTCTCCGAGTTGCTGCTCGGTCCTCGTCGACGAAGCCGGCCCTACCTCCTGCTAGTCTGAAGTGCTGGTCAAAATATATGTCTGAGACTCAATGAAGTGCCTCCCATGCCTTCATCACTGCGAGCAACGACCCATGACACCGGTACCCTTCCAATTGCCGCGCGGTCATCTCATAACTATCCGGACTACCGACATTCCCTCCTCGGGGTACGTTTGTTACAACGTGAAGTGGTATTACCAGCAAGTTCGCCAGCCAAGATGTCGGAAGGAATACGCAAGGCGTGCTGGCCTGAGATGTCTCAAAGCTGAAGTCCAGAAACGCTGATGGGCGGTTGAGCTCCCAGGCCAGGACTTACTTACAGTCCAACTCACTGTGCTCGTCCCAGACATGTCGGACAACATTTATAAGACCACGCACGAATGGTCGACATCCCCATCGAATATCAACGCTCTCGACTACAATGTCCAACCTTCGCCACATCGACTACCACGCCCACGGCCTCTCTCTCGGGGACTTCAACGACGCCCGCTGGCTTGCTCTCACGAAGCTCGCGCGCCTCATCCCCTACTTTGTTCTCTACTCGCTTATTGTCGTAATCTTTGCCGCCTTTGTCCGCCTTGTCCGCCATTTGCGACGTCGCACTCGTCGCAAGAGACTCGACGCCGAACATCAGAGCCTGGAGATCACCCGTCTTCAACAGCAACTCGCTGCCAAGGATCGTCAGTCTCACGTCCTCAGGCACACAGGCAACCGCAACTACACTCGCATGGTCGATGCACGCGCTGCTCAACGTCGGACGCAGGCACAACTCACCCAGCACCAGATCAGCGCAGCCCTTACTGCTCATCGGCACGCCTTTCAGCTCGCGGCCCTTCAGACCTCTCGCGCTGCCTCCGAGATGGCATCCGCTGCCCAGCTTGTCACGCAGTCTCAGATGCTCGATGCTCAGATTCACGAAGCTCGTCGCCATGTGTTCAAGGCTGCCGCCGAGGCCGCTACTCAAGTTGCCGTCCGCATCGCGGTTTCCGCTCAGCTTGTTGACCAGTCTCGTCGCCGCTCATATCAATCTGCTGCTTCCGGTGCCGCGCGCATAGCCGCGCGCAAAGCTTCTGCTCTCGAGCTTGCCGAACAATCTCGTCGTCATGATCAGGAGCTACTGGCCGCACGTCGGGTTACATTCATAGCCGTCGCTCAGGCCGCCGCGTCCGTCGCTACCAACAAGGCTCTCTTGGCCCAGCTTACTCTCTGCCAGTCCCAGCTCCGCGACAGTCAAGCAGCTCAATTGACCGCGCTCCAAGCTCTCGGTGTGAACTCCTTCGAGGAGGCCATCCACAACAAGCGTATCTGCGACAAGGAGCTCACTCAGACCAAGCAACACGGGAAGGCGCTCGAAAACCAGACTGCGGTCCTCAGGCTTACGTCCGGCATCATGGAGGTCACCCACGCCGAGGAGATTGCCGCGAAGGATCATCAGCTTCGGACACTCCACGAGCGCTCAGACGAGCAGGCCATCGCTCGCGCGGCACACCAGGCGGAGGAGCAGGAGCGTGAGGCTCAGCTTACATGTGCGTACTCCGTCTTGTCGCTGATTGCTCGATACTGACCTTTGTCCTAGCGGCGCTTGCTTCCCGCACCACGGAGCTCAAGTCTCTTCTGCAGCGCTCCGACAAGCAGACCCGCGCATACGCAGCTGAGCGGGCGGGCGCACAGGAGCGCGAGGCGAGCCTCTCTGGTGAGTAACTTGATCGCTCTCGTATCCTGACATGTAGCTGACACCTCATCCAGCCGAGCTCTCTTCGCTCTCGACCGACCTCAAGTTTGCTCATGAGGAGCTCGAGGCCGTCAACATCGAGTGCGCTACGTACCAAGAGAAGCTGCAGGCCGCTGACGCCCTTGCCGACAAGCGTGAAGCGCGCATCACTGTGCTCAAGGCTAACGTTCAGGAGCTCGGAGCTTGCGCGTCCAAGCTCACCGACAACTACGAGGAGCGCCTTCGCATCGCAGGCCAGCATGCACGCGACCAGGATGAGACCATCGCTTCTTTGCGCGAGCGGCTCAACGAGCTTCAGTGCGCTGCCCGTCCCACGGTGTCTCGGCCCGATGATGGCCTTCCCTCGCCACCTCCTAGTCCCGCAGCTCCTTCATGTTCTACGCCCTCCGACGACGGCCTCGACCCGAGCTGCACCTCCATCAACGACGAGGACGAGGACCTTCCCATCACAACGCTCACTCGACTCCCGCCGCCGCCTCCCGTAGACGCCCGCAACCGGCGCTGGATCGGCCCGAGTCTCCGGCGCGGTGTTCTCATCTGCGGCGTCTTCTCTGGCTATGGCCCTCCTCTCGTCGACAAGCCTTCTCCCGAGCGTAGACTCGAGCTCATCATCGACGACATTGGCGATGTGGGTCTGCCTGGTAACCTACCTGAACTTCCACCCTCGGCGCTGCCGCCGCCTCCGCCGTCGCCCAAGACGTATCCGCGCCCGAAGACGCCGCATCGGTTCCGGAGCAGGCTGCCGAACAAGCACTGGACCGACTTCTTGCCTGAGGACTCGGACCTCGCGACGTTCTGAATGCCACAATCTACTACACACCACGCTCGCTTCATCGCATACTTCCAACACGCTCTCGCATCCGTTTACCTCTTCTCTCTCTTTTCATCTCTCGGTAAGCTTTACCTAACGTTTCTTTAACTTGCTTCCGCTGACCATACACCTCGCAGATCTCTACCACGCGATATACACGCCGCGCTCGTCTCTATCTCTCTCCAGCTATCTGCCTTGCATCATCGCTGTCCCACAATCGATCTCTCTCAGAGTGCGTCCTCTTCCGATCTTATCTGACGATTGTGTCCTGACACTGTCTGCAGTTTATAATGCTCTATACATCGCCGTCCGGCGCACACAAGCTATCCGCACTCCCGCAATCCTCGCTACCTTGGATACCCGCGCCGCCGCTCAACACACGCGTGCTCACCGCCTTGAGCCGGCGCAAACGGCTCCGCGTACTTTGGCCAAGGTGCGCTACATTCTCTTTAGCTAACTCTTGAGCACTGTCTGACTGGTCATTACAGTACCGGGCTCGTCCTCGACTCAGCGCTAGCGCTGCAGTTCGCCGCCCGTTGCCTTCTATTGGGCTTCTCACGGCGCCTTCCTTTTTCGGCGCCTCTTCGCCGCTTGCGGCCGTGCTTTCGCCTCGCTCTCGCGCTTCCCTACTGTATCTGCATCATACCCTTCCCGCATCGCTGCCACAGTCTGTTCTCATGTACTCTACTCATATACCGGGTTCAGCGAGGCGTGTTTGGACTTTGGTCGGGGGTGGGGATGCGCCCCTACTTCTTGCCTGAGTTCAGACTCGCTGAGCGTGTTCGTCTAGAGTCGACTGGCGCATCGGTCGATTCTGGATGGATGGCCCGGTGGTCTCGTTCCGCGCTTACTTTCATGTTGTCTCTGTTCATCATGTACAACTATTGCTGGTCATCCTTCTACCTTCATAATTTTCGGACATAGCCCAGCAACTTGCCGTCCACCATACAAGAAACTACGTGGGGCGCGGTGCTACGTATGCGTACCATAAGAAACGTGGGTATGGACCCATGCCGAGCGCGAGTTAGGCCCCGCCAGGGCCAGGTATGCACTGGGGAACGGCACGCAGTGCACGGACACCCTATCTGCAGATAGTTGTGTACCGGTCGTCCCATCACGACAAGGACATCGACGCATAATTTTATGACACAGACTTAAACTCAAGCACCTGTAGTTCGAGGACCGAACGGGAATGGACATAGAATTGCACAAGAGGACGAGAGTACACGTGTCATACGTTATGTTCAAGAGATACAGGAGGGGAAGGGGAAATATACTCAAATGAAGACACATGACCGTGCAACGTTCAAACCCCATCGTTTGACAGGAACGCACGCACTTCTCAAGCGCCAACTCATCCGTTGAATAGACGGAAAGGACCCATCCTTCTGGGCCCTTCACCAGAACCGGTGCAGGGTAGATGCCCGAAGCACTGCCGCCGCCCGGGCAGAAGAGGCCGTGTAGGGTACATCGAGACACACGAAGCAGAAAGAAGGGGAAGGGAGGGAGAACGATGTCCTATTGTACGAGACGACGACGATGGAAACGAAGGGCTCCAAGCGCGCGGAAAAGCTGCAGTGTACACAATCAAAAGCCAAATAATGCTCAACAGAGCGTCGGTCTCGGCCTCGGGAGCACTCTCCTGCGCTCGTCCATGGCTCATTCCTTCTTCAATGTACCGATGGCGAATAACATAGGGGGTCATATACCCAGCGTGGCAAAGCATACACCGACCTGTCATATTACGTGTACCGGTCGACAGCTGTTCAGACCAGATTAAGCGCATCTGACGAGGAAGCGAGACTCAAGCGCTGAGGCTGTCCGACAGCTTCTGCGGGTACACGTATTTATAGTCGACCGCTGCGCTACTGTATGCGCCCGATCATCCTTCGTCTTCGACATGGACACAGACAGCCAGTTGACTCTGCAGGAGCCCGATGCAGGTGGGCTAGCGCTTTCGCCCACTGAGGCTCGTCTTGCACTCTTCAGATCGCTCATCATGCTTACAGCAGGCGCGAGGACTGGACAGAAAGACAGGTTCGAGACATGTACCTCGGCTTTAATCTGGCAGTCGGGGCTGGTCTGGCGTTCGGGGGAGTTTGTCGACCTAGGCCTCTCGGACGACGCTCGCTCGCTCGTACATACAGGCAAGTTGCTCAGCCGCCCCAAGAGAGGGTTCGGCCAGACACACAAATGGACGGAGCTCTTCGTCCTTCTCTTCGACAATTATCGTGCGTCTAGATACCGATCACTCTGTTCTTGCCATGAGTACTCATTCATAACCAGTGGTCATCACTGAGCCTCGTGAGGAATACGGTCTCATCAAATACCACGTCACACGTCATCCCATACCGCTCGAACTCTTGACGACGACAAACATCGCGCACCCGCCGATTCAGCGCGGTGCCGGTGAGCCGAGTCCCAAAGTACTGGCTACTTTAGGCAGCCGGCTCCGTTCCGGCGACGACACTCTTGTATATCCGTGGGAGATTACCCACGTCGGCCGAGGTGGACCGTGCGCCCTTTTCGCGCAGAGTGAAGAGGCGCGGGCGCAGTGGAACGAAAGGCTGTCCGAGGCGCAGAGCTTGCGAATAGCTACTCAGGAAAGGAAGAAGGTTTTCGATATCAAGCCGCTGAGCGGCGACTTAGGCGCCGGCGCACCTATCACCGGACGAGTGACGTGCAGCCTAGCATTCAGTCCCAAGGCAGATGAGCGCGTGCATATCATCTTTGGCGGTGACGAAGGCGTCTGGACTGGCATTCAAGATGATCCCTCGAGCATCCATCGCGTCCTCAACGTGAAGATGGTCACACAATGTGCCGTTCTCGAGGACTTTGACGTGTTCATCGTCTTGGCAGATGGAGCTCTATCTGCATACCCTCTCAATGTGCTCGTTCCAAGCCGCTTGCCCCAGAACGACGTAACTTTCGCGCCGTTGAGGCTGGGCGAGGACAAGGTTGTGTGCTTCTCTGTGGGTCAAATACTCGATCGCACGCTCCTGGTGTATGCGTGGAAAAAGAGACATGGCAGCACATTCCGCGTCCTCGAAGCCATTCCGTTGAAAGAGACTGCATCGCTGATGAGTGCCATCGACGGCGGTGCTCAATACGGACTGGACGAGCGCTGCTTTCGCGTGCATAGGGATCTATCCTTCCTTTCAATTGCCGACTGCTATGACTTGATGTTCGCACATGCACGCGTCGCAGTGTTACACCAGAAGGGATTCCAGATCGTGGATCCACTCGTGGGTGACCGCAGTGTCACGATCCCGCTAGGCCCACGCGACAAGATGGACAAGGAACTCGCGAAGCGGTGTGACACCTGTCGGCCGTTGCAGATGTTGAGGACGAGTAGGAACGAGTTTCTACTCTGCTACGAAGGTATGCATAATGTCTGTCACCTCTCCACATACAAGCTCGCTGACGTGTGTCTGGTAGAGTTCGGACTATTCGTCGACCGTGACGGCGACCCTGTGCGCGACAAGCCGATGATGCACTGGCAAGGCAAAGCAGAGCAGATTGCCTGGCACCCGCCTTATGTGGTCACCTTCAACAACCGCTTCATTGAAACTCATAATGTCGAGACCGCGCAGCTTGCGCAGATCCTTCGGGTCGAAAACACGCGTGTAACATGGGATGGACGGGGTACTGCACGGCCGTCGCCGAAAGCGCCCGCTGAGGGTCGCGCGTGGGGGTTCGATTCCCAAATCCGCATACATGGCGTGAGGCGTCATGCACCGCCTGAGTCCTCGCCTGGCCCTTGCGCGGTCCCTTCTGTGCCAGATGCGCAGTACGTCTTTGCGCTCGTACCTAGAGTCAGGGAAAGGCGTGAAGGTGAAGGGGCGTCGTTTCGTGTAATGCTCTGATGACCGTCCATAGAAATGTGATGATTCTCGCGAAGTTGTTGGAATTTTGTATCTCTTTGAGTGGTTCTTTGTCCACGACCCAATATCTTAAACGTTTTCTCGTGTTGTTTTTCATGTGGTATCCTGGTATTTTCTTCCTGAGGAAAGGTACACCATAAGCAGTAGGAATGAGTGCCCAATGATTCGCAAGCTCATCGATTCTGTAGAGGGCTAGAAAGAGTTGGACGGGCATGGCAGTCTACTTCGGTGTTAAGCCAGATGACGTAGGGACGAGATGCAACCGGACTCACGAGCATCCGTTGGTGAGATCACCAGTGAGAGGTCTGGGGCGGATCGGAGTAGAGATCGATGTGCACTGATGCTGGAACTGGAGGAGCGATACCAGTACCTTATAGAGTACGCTGATGAAAGAGGGGTCATTCAGCTCCCTCGCTTTCTCACGATACAGGGGAAGAATGGCCTACAAGGCCAGTGCAAAACAGAACGGATGGTCAGCTTCCATAAGTAGCCGAAAGTAGGGCACGGTGGACTGTCTGAGCATTGGGAACAAAGCATGCGCTTGTTGTGCGGCTCCCTGACCCTGATCCTGCCTTCCTTCTCATATGGGCGACTGGGAGCTCATGAACAGACGATAGTAGACAGCCACCCATCAAGCAAGTTGCCCCGACGCATCGCTATCGCAAGTGGTTCGCTGATCACAACAATGGATGTTCTGTCAAGTCATGACTGTAGTCCGAATCGTGGTTGTAGAGTAGCAGGCACGCGCTCATAACTACGGACACCAGAATAGGCTCGCAAGTTGCTTGTCTGCCTCTGCCTCTAGAGGAAAGGTAGAGACGAACAGCTGAAGTCGCGGACTCCACGTTTCCGCCATCCGACCCCAGGAGCTCCACAGTGCCTTGCGATACTCCCAATGTGAAGGAAGCCAACCTGCACATTCCCAATCAAGAACCGCAGTAATCTCGAGGCTCTCGCGGTCGAACAACATGTTGTGAGGTGCAAGATCGCCATGCGTCATAACAATTGGATGAGCAATCGCGTGCGATACTGCAACATCCGGAGGGAGGCCCTCCAAGGGCTGGAAACAACGCAGTGCAGCGTTGAACGATTGTTCGTCGGAGAACAGGCCAAAATGATCACTGGGTAGACGGTGGTCGTAGATAGAACCACCATCAACAGCGCAAATGGCCGATCCATATGGCGTGGGCAATCTGCGTAATTGTGCTAAGAACGGCGCGAGCTGCTTGACGATGTGATCTCGAGCATTGTCCTCGAGAGAGCCCCAGACGTCGTCCAATACGCATCCTGGCGCGCGAGTCATGATGATATAATAGTTGTCAGACCACGGCCAGCACCAGCTACGCCATGGGCGGGGTACAGGTATCGTCGTATGGGCTCGGACAAAACGCATCGCCGCTATCTCGGAACGGGCTATTGCGCTCTTTTGACCCAGAGCCAGCGGCCGATCGTAGCTACCGCCAGATCGTCAGTATGCCTCAAACCTCACGCCAGAAGTGACTATACTCACCGTTCCATAGACGAGACATCAAGGAGTAGTAGCGACACTTACCGGCCGCGATGCGCGGGCTCAACCAGGACTCGTACCACCGGCGAAGGAAGGGCGTTTCGCGACGTCGCTTCTCGATACGTTCGCGTAGTAACCGACGTCTGGCCTGTCTCTCATCATCTTCAGTCAGCATCCTGTAGGTTATCCCCAACTGGTGCCTTGTTGGCGGTTACTCTCGTCGGCGTGGTTGTGTGTTGTGGTCAACTTCTGTGGTGAACGATCCCCCGCAATCACGGCAGACACCATCACTTCCCACGTTCTGAGTCTTTCGTCGTCTTGTCACTGTGTAGGCAGCAAAGAGCAAGCGCAACCGCGGGTTGCCGAGTGAGCAATACGCGGTAGCAGCGTAACGGCCAGGTTCAAGTCTGAGCGATCCGAGCGCTGACTGGTTACGGTGGCGGGCCACCACGCGCGCCGCGGTACGCCGGTCCGCGCTAACCCTAACCCAAAATCGTTCGCGAGCTGAATTGGAGTAAGTGCTTAGGTTTTAGAGCTGGTTGCAGATGCCACACCGCCCGACCCTCTACACGGAGAGAGCGACTTCACAACCTCCGCGCACGCGGGGATGATATTGAGCGCCGGGATGGCTCGTTCGGGCCTCAACGGCTACCGTTAGTGGCGCGCGGCGGTAAGGTTCTTTAGGATCATAACGGTACCTTTCTTCCCTTCTGAGAGTGCGGTTTCGGTACACCGTCCTTGTCCTGAGTTCGAGAGTTACACATCGCGACAATTGGCTACTTCGTGCGGAATAAGCCACTCGCAAAACAGCCTGAGTGAGGATTGGCAGTCGATGCCGCTGTGGCATATCACGCTGCGTGGGGAGCAACTCTGCGCGCGTAGCAGCAAGACGGGTGGCCTGCTATCGTTGTGCAAGCAGCTGCGACGTTCAATCGCAGCTCACCAAAACGCGCACGACATGGATAAGCGATGATCGGCCTTGTATCGCGAGTCAAACAAGTGCTCGCAAGCAAGTACCCCGCGGTGAGGTGTCTCCAGCCAATTCAGTACACTACATTTTGTATCTTCCCCACTGGCGCCTCCCAACCACCGCTCAAACGCTCAACTCAGCCCTCACCCTCCCGCCCTCCTCAATAACCTTCCTCAGCTCGGGCTCCCCAAGCGCAGGCTCGACCCACTCCCGCACAAACGCGTCCACCTGCTCCGGCGCGCGGCCGACGAACGACTGCGGGTCGAGCAGCGCGGCGAGCTCGGGCTTGATGGGGTCGAAGTACGGGTGCTCGGCGATGCGCTGGATGAGGTCGTTTTGGAGGCCGAGGTGTTTGACTTGGTGCGCTGCTTGGTGCGAGAGGACCTATAAGGGCGGGATGGGGTGAGTTTAGTTTATAGGAAGGGAGGAGGAGGGAGAGGGAGAGGGAGAGGGGACGTACGCGAATATGCTCGTGCGCCTCCTGCCTATCCCCGCCCTTCTTAACCATAGCCATAATAACATTCTCCGTCGCCATAAACGGCAGCTCCTCCCTGATCCGCCGCTCGATGACCTTCTCGTACACCACGAGCCCCTCCATCACGTTCTGCAGCGTCGTGAGCACGACGTCGGCCGTGAGGAACGCCTCGGGGAGCGTGATGCGGCGGTTGGCCGAGTCGTCGAGCGTGCGCTCGAACCACTGCGTCGCGGCGGTCATGAGCGCGTTTTGGTGGAGGACCATGAGGTGGCGCGAGAGCGAGCAGATGCGCTCGGAGCGCATGGGGTTGCGTTTGTAGGCCATGGCTGAGGAGCCGATTTGGGTTGACTCGAAGGGCTCTTCGATCTCCTGCGTACCCTCCATCAGCTTCTCTCATCCTGACACAGCACGTATGAGGACGTACCTTGAGGTTCGCGAGCAGCCTGAGATCAGTGCCGATCTTATGCGCCGTGGCCCCGAAACTCGCGAGCGGCGCGAGCGCATCGATGTCCACTTTGCGCGTATACGTCTGTCCGCTCACAGGATACGCGAACTCGAACCCCATCAGCTCCGTCACCCTCTTATCCAACAGTTCAACCTTCTCATGGTCCCCATCAAACAGCGCCAAAAAAGACGCCTGAGTACCAGTGGTGCCCTTCACGCCGCGGAACCCGATATCGTCGCGCGCGCGCTTGATGTTGCGCAGGTCCATGAGGAGCTCGTGCAGCCATAGGCTCGCGCGCTTGCCGACGGTCGTCAGCTGCGCGGGCTGGAAGTGCGTGAAGCCGAGGGTGGGGAGGGACCGGTATTTGATGGCGAAGGCGGTTAGGCGGGAGATCACGAGGGCGAGCTTGTGGTAGACGAGGGTGAGGGCGTGGCGCAGGAAGATGAGGTCTGCGTTGCTGGGGAAAGGTGTGAGTTTGGGTTTGGGAGGAGGGAGGGTGGGCTTACTCGGTTACGTAGCAGGATGTGGCACCGAGGCTGCGGAGGGAAGGTCGTTAGTTGATGATCTAAGTACAGGACAGACAGGCTTATGGCTATGACTAGACAGTACATGTCCAAAAGCAGACGACACGACGCCAATAGGCGCCTCTGTGTACAAGCGCAACTTGAGGCAAATAAGACACAGGACGCCAAAGCCGAAACGCGTCGCCGAATAACCCCGAAAGCGAAAAGCGACGCACTGGATGATACCCGCAGCGGCAGGCGCGACCTGCCCAAACGTATGAACATGCGCCATAACATCGTGCCTCCTCTTCTTCTCCTCCTGCGCAGCGATCTCAAACTGCTCCGGCGTCAAGTTCTATTCACAAACAAGTTAAAGCTCGAGTTCAGAAGAATAGACCGAGAGGCGCGCGCACGAGGTTGGCCTTCATCTGGCTTAGAGCTTCGTCCGAGATGGGCAGCCCGAGCTCCTTTTCGGCGATGGCGAGGTTGAGCCATAGCTTGCGCCACGTCGAGAAGCGCATCTAGATTGGCGTTGAGAAGGTGATGGGAGGGCGGGGTTCTGGCGAGCATACCTCTGGCGAGAAGAGATGGGACATTTCCTTGCTCGCATAGCGGCTATCGGGGAATCAGATCGCGCGGCATAGTAGGCACTTAGTGCAATGACCTGGAAAGCGGCGTCTGGTACGAGTTGAGGGCCTCCATGGCGGTCTGAAGCAAAAGAGCGATCGAAGACGGAATAGATCTAATAGAGCGTGGGAAGACGCGCCCTGATCAGCGCGGAAGCAAGGAGAGCTCTGGCCGCGGCCGGGGTGCTGTGTTGTTCTCGCTCGCCCTTGTCCTGCTTGAATGTCGCGTCGGAGCTACGACTCGAACGTATACACCCACGAGCGCAGGATATCCAAGCATCGCGTCTCGGACGAGGATTTGTTCAAGTGACTATTGCCCTAATATACCTATTGGGACACTGCGCTGACTTTATCTGCGCAGCTATGTCCTTCGCGTAGCGTGCGTCCCACGTTTCCTCCCTACCGCGACTGTCTCTAATATATATATTGTATAGGCTCCTAGCATACCTGATCCAACCGCGCGCGCTACCGGCTACCACGCATGAGAGCGATCAGCCGAGGGAACAGGGCCACTCGTCCCGCATCTCCGGCGCGCTCTCCTCCTCGATCGTCTCCATAGGCGATTTGTTCAGCACGCGCGATGGGCCCAAGAGCGTCAAGTTCCCCAAGGAGCTCATCAAAGTCCTCGAGCAGCGACTCGAGAATATCGCCATGGGCCGCGACTCGTCGTACGTTTCCTCTCCACATCCACTATATAGTCAACGATGCTGACTTTGAGCTTCAAGATATTCCGACCAGCTGCTAAGACGCACGATGGCCGTATTCTACGGCCAATTCAAAGTCGAGTCCTTCAAGCGCCAGATGAAAGAGAACCGGAAGATCGAAGAGCTCATCCTCCTCTTCGCCACCCACGCGACGGGCATCCTGCGCAAGGACCCGGCGCTCGCGGGCGACGCGTGGAAGCCCGAGCTCAACTCGCATATAGCGCAGTTCGTGCGCCTGCTGAGGGAGGCGCTCAGGGGCCTGTCGCACGTGTCGACCGAGCTGACGGCGCGGCTGGATATGTACGCTGCGAAGCTCGCGCCGCCGGCGGGCGGGCAGAGCGATTCGGGGTACGAGAGCAGCAGCACCACGGGCAGGGATAGGGATTCTATTTCGAGCGTGGGCACGCCGGGGCTGAGTATGAACGTCAACGATATGAGTCTCGTGCTCGTCGTCGCCAAGCTCTTTGGCATCCGGACGGACTTGCTCCAGCGCGAGATCGAGAAGATAAAGTCTTTCTGCACAGAACGCGTGCGACTCATCATCTACTTCGAGATAATATATATACTGATATATCACAAATAGGCCGCTCTACTCGATCTCAAGACATGCCTGAAGAACATCGTCGCCGGCGAGCCCTTCCCCGGCTGCCGCGACGACTTTGAGTCCGAAGAAGCGTGGAACCACTGGAAGACGCTCGAGACGGCGCACCTCTCCCAGCTCATGGTCGTCCTCGTCCAATTCAACCCGCAACTCGCCAAATCCGCGCCCTCCGAGTCCACAATCTCAGCCATCTCCCCGCGCCCCGCCGCACGGCGCCCCAACTCGATCTACAGCGCCACCGGCCGCAACGGCTCGATCTCGTCTCGCAAGAGCCTGGCTATGAGTATACACGGGATCAGCGGGCTGGGGCGGCTGGCGGAGAGCGTGAGCGAGGCGGAGGCGGAGGGGTACGTGGATGTGGGCGAGGAGGTGCAGGAGAACGACGACGAGGTCGAGGCGGGCGCGCAGTTCACGTATATACCGCATAATCCGAGGAAGTATTATAGGCGGCTGCTGGAGTGCTGTCTCGAGGCGGATCTGGCGGCGCTCAGGGATCCCACGGTGCCGGACGACGATCAGGTGCGTCTCTTACCCTTTTCATGCTGAAGAGCGCGCGCTGATTGCTGCTTCAGGTATCATTGGGCATTCTGTCGGCGAACCATATCGAGCTTGTCAATGAGGTCGCGCTGAGATGGCGGATCGGGGGACCGTATCGCGCCGCGTGCTTCCTCGAGATCATCAAGCAGCTGTACGAGCGGAACGAGGTGCCCTTGGAATGCATACCCGAAGCGCTGTCCAACGTCGAGAAGGTGATCGGCGAGGTGCCCGTGGACAAGTGGCCTCAAGCTGACGTGCGCATCTATCCTCCCCTCTCTATGCCGCATTGTATTGACATTCGAATGTACAGGCGGAATACCTCATCACAGTCTACGGCTCGCTCGTCTCCATCTTCCTCGCCTCCGTCTACCACGCAATGGACAACATGCCCACGCTCAAACCCGACGACATATTCCCCTACATCGAGATCCTCGCCCAGATGCAATCCACCGGCCTCCTCGAGCGCTTCCAGGTCGACATGGACGCGCGCGTGCAGGACATCAACGCCCGCGTGCGCACGGTCACCGAGAACTGGTACGCCACAAAGTCGATCGAGCTCCAGGGGCGCAAAGACGCGGGCGTGAACCGCGCGCTGCCGTTGCTGTGGACCACGGACGAGGTGGAGAAGACGGCGAAGGCGCTCGATAAGCGGTTTCCGGACCCGCTGTTCGACGAGAGGTTGGATCTGTGCGGGCTGTTTGTGGAGGTCGCTGTGCCGTGTTTTCTGGCGGAGCTGGAGGGGGGCCGCAAGAGGCTGTTCGAGAGCGCGATGAATGGGCCGACGCCGGATGTGCCGATTCAGGATGTTTTTGCGCTGTATAGGAGGACGAGGACGTTGTTGGAGATGTTTGAGGGGCTGGTCAGGAAGTGCGTACCTTGCGTTCTTGGATGTATGGTTCTCGGCTGATGATTGAGCAGACCGCTCGAGTTTGATGTGGGGTTGTTCTTCGAGCCGTATGTCAGGCAATGGCTCGTCGAGACGGATAACAAGACGGGTCAGTGGGTGCAAGCTGCCATCGCGCAGGACAAGGTGCGTTCTCCTCGAGTATACGTCTAAACACGCGCTAATGCCCGTCGCTAGTTCGAGGCAGAGGGCACCGAGGGCCACAGCAGCTCGATCGTCGACCTCTTCGACTCCCTACGAAGCCCGATCAACTTCCTCCAAGACCTAGAATGGAACGACGCCTACCAAGACGCGCGCTTCTTCACCAGCCTAGCCAAGGTACGTCTCGTCGCGCGCTTCTTTAGACGCCCGAGCGCTAATCACGGGAGCCTAGACCATCAGCAAAGCCGTCGAGCAGTACTGCCGCTCCGTCGAGGACCTCTTCATGGCCGAGATGTTCCCGCGACCAACCGACTACCTCCAGCCGCAGAAATCTTCCGCGTGGCTCGAACGCGCCAAGCAGCTCGCCCAAGGCGAGAAGAAGATCGAGCCGTTCAACTTTGCGCCTGGATCCTGCGTCAAGCTCAACAACATCGAGGCCGCGCGGCGGTTATTGGATAACATGTACAACCAGATGGAGACGGACAAGTTGACGGATATCATCGAGACGCAGGCGCCGCCCGTGCCGAGCAAGGAGGAGCGGCAGCGGTTCTTGTTCACGGTCAAGGTTGTGCTGGCGGAGGGCTTGGTGCCGACGGACGGGAGCGTCAGCGCGCTGCTCGACACGTTCGTCACGCTCTCCGACGAGCAGGGCAACCGGTGGGCCAAGACGCGCACGATCTACGAGACGAACAACCCGCGCTGGGACGAGACGTTCGACCTGAGCGTCGACAAGCCGCTCTGGCTCATGGCGTCCGTCCGCGACCGCGCGCTCATCGGGAAGCACGACACAGTCGGGCGCGCGTACATCTACCTCGACCCGCAGCTGTACGGCGACTACCTCGTGCACGACAAGTGGTTCAACCTCGACTCGACCGGGCGCGTGCTGTTGCGGGTGAGCATGGAGGGCGAGAAGGACGACGCGCAGTTTTACTTTGGGCGCGCGTTCAGGAGTCTGAAGCGGGCGGAGGGCGACATGGTGCGGATATTCATCGACAAGATGAGCCCGTTCATCCGGCAGAATATCTCGCGCGCGGTGCTCAAGACGCTCATCAAGTCCGGCACGGCGGGGCTCGCGGAGGTCAACAAGGTCATGGGCAACGTCACCGCCTTATACCGCTCTGCGCTGGGCGCGGACAAGAGCGAGGTCCAGATCCCGCTGCCGTCGAGCGAGAAGCCGCGCTTCAGGCCCGAGGACCTCACGGACGTCGAGATCGAGCAGGCGATCGTGCCGCTGTTCGACTACTTCGACGCGAACCTGCAGACGCTCAACACGTACCTGAGCGACGCGACGAAGGAGATGGTGATGGTGCGGCTGTGGAAGGAGATCCTGGCGACGATCGAGGGGCTGCTGATCCCGCCGCTGAACGAGAGCCAGAGCGAGATGAAGCCGCTGAGCGATAAGGAGGTCGATATCGTGTTCAAGTGGCTGAAGTTCTTGCGGGACTACTTTTATGCGGGCGGGGAGGGCCCGGTGCCGCTGGAGGTGCTGCAGAATCAGAAGTATAGGGATGTGGTGTCGATCCGGCTGTACTATGACTGGCATACGTGCGTGTTTCGCTCTCTCTTTCGTCTTGTTGCAGCCGTGCTGACTGAGATACCAGGGATGCGCTGATGGAGGAGTGCGTGCGCATGATGCAGCAGACGCTCCGCGCCGCGCCGACGATCAAGAAGCGCGCGAAGAGCGTGTATCAGCAACGCAACCTGGGTACGATCAAAGATCGCAAGCGGGAGAAGAAGCAGGAGAAGGAGGTCAACAACGGCGAGACTATCCTGCGGATCCTCCGCATGCGGTATGTCGCCTTGCCGACTATACATGTGTGGCAGAAGTGCTGATCGTTTCTTATAGGAACGGGACTTCGGACTTCATCGCGCAACAGCTGCAGATCCTCAGTGCAATGCAAGCCGAGCAAGAACAGCGCGAACGCGCGAAGAACAAGATCGGCGGAAGCCGGAAAGTCCATCGACCGAAGCAAGCCAGCCAGATCCCCGCCGTCCCACCATTGCCCGAGGACCCTTCCGCATAGACTCTTCTGCTCCTTTTGTCCGTGTACCATGTATGCTATGCCCTGTCTGTCATGGAGGAGAGAAACGATATACCACTCTGCGCACTCACTCACCTAATACCTATCCGCCTTCAATTACCCCTTTGCTTCTCACTTTCCATGCTTACTTTCGTCGATTGTCGTTTGCTATCTGACTGGCTCGCGTTACGATTGTATATCCCTTTTGTGTTTATGTCCGTTTTTTTTGCTCGTGGAACCCGCGGACTTCTCTTGACTGAATGCGTACTTATGAAGAATTGCATGAGGGAATGCTCGATATAGTTTGTTAGTTGCGATTTCAGGGACTCAACACACCTACTTACAGAGGGAGAGAACCGTTTTACGTCGGGCCGCGCGCGAGAGAGCACCTAGGTTAGGGTTGCAGCGTCGCGGGCGCCGCGGAGACGCGGCGCGGCGCGATGTTGACCAGCAACAGCGATGGGCACATTGTGTGTCGTGAAATCTTCTACACACATCACATTGCAGGCTCAATCTTGACATCTACATCTACATCTCACTTTTGTAACACAACAATCTCGACCGTACTCTATCAGATCGAGATAACGCGCAACCCCGCAGGTGGATCTGCCGATCCCAGCTCAAATCCAACGTACTCCTGCATACAGACGGGGCGATAGATCCAGACCTCGCCCTCTGCCATTGTAGCATGCGGTACTGTGGACACTCTTGGCGGATTCGGGTTTTGCCCCACGATGGTGAGGTCTCCCAGTTCGGCAGGTGTAAGGAAGCTTCCATCGGATACGGGGATCCTACAGCCATCGATGAGTTTCATCCTGACACGAGAGGCTATACATGATACAGATAAGACTTACGAGGGAATACAGTCCTTCACGATGACGGCGGTATGATCTGGGGCTCCGATAGTCGACCATTGACCCATCCTCTTTACGCGTGCGAGGCGCCACTCGACGATGTCTCCCCGCCGTACACGGGTGTCGCCGCCACGCCAACGACCTTGTCCGGGCTTGCCACAGTAGATGAGGTGTCCGTGGCAGCGAGAGATGCTTGGTACGGGTGGCTGATCCGGACATTGCTCTCTCGCAAGCTCGAGCCCTTTGTAGGCTATATCCCAGCACTCGCCACGCCACACCTTTTGCCCGCTTGCGACATGGCTTTCTGCGAATGAAGCGATGATCTCTCCATAGGTGTCGTGAGCGGCGACGAGTGCGTCTCCTGACATGGGCGGAGGACGAAGAGTGTACCAAGCTTCGCGTCGGATGCGGTAATCGTCGGGCGAATGAGGACCAGACGGGTATGTCACCCGGAAGTAGCAGACGCTCATGTCTGCAAAGATGATTCCTGAATGTAGGACCGTGGTGTCACTGCTGGGGAAACTCCTGAAAGCACCACTACCGCGTATTTGAGCATCAGGACCGGAGTGCATAGTCGGCACGGGCGATGAGGTGTACCAGTCATCACCAGGGCCCCATATCGTATCTGCAGAGAAGTAGTGGGCGAGATCGGCTGCAGTAGAGCCGTGTGCAGTGCTGGCCGGGTACGACATCTGGAGTTCGGCCAGTGGGTCGCCACCTGGTGTAGCAGGTTTGTGCACCGAGGTTTCCCTGTTGGGTGCGCTCGGCCGGGTATTATAGTTAGGTTTGGGCTACGATGCGGAGTGGACCTTCAGCGGACCGAAGATAAGAAAGAGGTAGATCACTCACGGGGCCCGCAGGTGGTGGTGGCATGGCCCGTCGCGGAGGGGGGATCCCATTGCCAGATGGCGTTTGTGGTGATGTGTCGCTACGACGAGGAGGCATTGGCGGGGCCTGGACCAATGACTGTGATGAAGTCCTACGAGGGGGCATTGGCGGGGCCGATGACTGCGATGAAGCTCTACGAGGGGGCATCGGTGGTGCCAATGGTGCCGATGAAGTCCGACGGGGAGGCATGGGTGGCGGCACGACATCGGGAGCCACAGCGTTTGCAGCGGTAGGACGCCGAGGCAGAGCAGGCGTAATGGGAGGAGTTCCTATGGGGCTGGGCTCGCCCGATGGCTCGGCGTGCACAGCTGGTACAAAGGAGGAGATCGGTCGGCCGGTGAAGCGCGAGAAGAATTCGTCTAGCCAGCTGAAGAAGACTTGCTTGTCCTCGTATGATAGATTCGCCCAGTCGATGCGATCGGGTTCAGCCTCCTCATCGTCGTAACTCTCCGGTACGGGAGGAACGGGTTGTGCGCCATTACGAGGAGCTTGTGGTGGCGGAGGATGAAAGCGATTCCCAGGGCGCGGAGGATTGTATCCGAGATTGCTACTGGGTGTGCTCGAGTACTTGTCTTTCGTGGAAGTGTATCCTTCCCCTGCACGCCTCTTCAGATCTGAGACTAGTTTAGTCAATGAACATGTAGATGACTGATAACACCGAGTAACATACCTGCGAAGGGGGCCATGAACCTCGCGTAGTGACACAGACGCTCAGAAGTACCTCAACTCGGTACGATCAGGCTAAGTATCGCTGATAGTGCTCAACGCCGTGTCCGAGTTGTGGATGGGGGTCAGTGGAGTGGACAGTCGGAGTACTTGGCCCTTTGGGCGGTCGCGGACGCACGTAGAACACCAGATGGGTGGTGGTGAGAGGCAACGCCGGTATGTGGCCGCATACTGGCCGCATACCGATTCCAATCCTGATGTATACGTACTTACCGTCGTTGTAGGATGACGGCTTTGTATAGAGAAGCCAGTCCATGCGGAAATCCCGCGCCGTGTCTGGCGCGGAGGATATCTGAATGGCAAGTCAATTGCCTTCCTGGGAGCGCATTTACCGGAATATCACACGGGCACACGTCTAGAAGCGTAGCAGAACGGATCGATGCGATGGTAACAGGTACATGACAGACGGAGACAACATGAAAGTAAGCGCGGAATGAGACCACCGGGCCATCCATCCAGAGTCGACCGATGCGCCAGTCAACTCCAGACGGACCCGCTCAGCGAGTCTGAACTCCGGTAAGAAGCAGGGGCGCATCCCCACTCCCGACCGAAGGCCAAACACGCCTCGCTCAACCCGGTATATGAGTGGAGTACATGATAGCAGACTGTGACAGCGATGTGAAAAGGGTATGATCATGATGCAGATACGGAAGCGCGAGAGCAAGACGAAAGCACAGCCGCAAGCGGCGAAGAGGCGCCGAAGAAGGAAGGCGCCGTGAGAAGCCCAATAGAAGGCAACGGGCGGCGAACTGCAGCGCTAGCGCTGAGTCGAGGAGGAGTCCGGTACTGTATTGACCAGTCAGATAGGTGTCCACCAGGAAGTTGAAGAGGGTGTGGCGTACCTTGGCCGAAGTACGCGGAGCCGTTTGCGCCGGCTCAAGGCGGTGAGCACGCATGTGTTGAGCGGCGGCGCGGGTATCCAAGGACACGAGGGATGCGGATGTGCGGGTAGCTTGTGGGCGCCGGGTGGCGATGTATGTAGCATTATAGACTGCAGAACATGTTGGTCAGCGCGAGACAACCAGGCGAAGTGAGAGACGACGTACTCTGAGAGAAATGTGCAAGGAGATAGAGATGAGAGATGGAAACGAGCGCGGCGTGTATATCGCGTGATAGAAATCTGCGAGACGTATGCATGGTCAGCGAGGGAAGGACAAGAGAAGGCGAGTGAAGCTTACCGAGAGATGAAGAGAGAAAGAAGAGAGAAACGAATGCGGGAGCGTGTTGCAAGTGTGTGTGATGAAGCGAGCGTAGTATGCTGCGTGTTGCGGCGTTCAGAACGTCGCGAGGTCCGAGTCCTCAGGCAAGAAGTCGGTCCAATGCTTGTTCGGTAGCCGACTCCGGAACCGATGGGGCGTCTTGGGGCGCGGGTACGTCTTTGGCGACGGCGGAGGCGGCGGCAGCGCGGACAGAGGAAGCTCAGGAAGGTTGCCAGGAAGGCCCACGTCGCCGATGTCGTCGATGATGAGCTCGAGTCTGCGCTCGGGAGAAGGCTTGTCGACGAGAGGAGGGCCATAGCCAGAGAACACGCCGCAGATGAGAACACCGCGCCGGAGACTCGGGCCGATCCAGCGCCGGTTGCGGGCGTCCACGGGAGGCGGCGGCGGAAGGCGAGTGAGCGTCGTTATAGGGATGTCGTCGTCCTCGTCATCAATGGAGGTGTAGCTCGGGTCGAGACCGTCGTCGGAGAGGGTAGAACATAGAGGGGCTGCGGGACTAGGAGGAGGCGAGGGAAGGCCACCATCGGGCTGAGCGGCCACCGTGGGAGCGGCAGCGCACTGAAGCTCGTCGAGCTGCTCGCGCAAAGAAATGATGGTCTCATGCTGGTCGCGTGCATGCTGGTCTGCGATGCGGAGGCGTTCCTCGTAGTTGGAGCTGAGGTCTTTCGCGCAGGCCCCGAGCTCCTGAACGTTAGCCTTGAGCACAGCGATGCGTGCCTCGCGCTTGTCGGCAAGGACGTCGGCGGCGTGAAGCTTCTCCTGGTATGTAGCGCACTCGATGTTGACGGCCTCGAGCTCCTCATGAGCAAACTTGAGGTCGGTCGAGAGCGAAAAGAGCTCGGCTAGATGAGGTGTCAACCACATGTCAGAATGCGAGAGCGATCAAGTTACTCACCAGTGAGACACGTCTCGCGCTCCTGTGCGCCCGCCCGCTCAGCTGCGTATTTGCGGGTCTGCTTGTCGGAGCGTTGTTGAAGAGACTCGAACTCCGTGGTGCGGAAAGCAAGCGCCGCTAAAAAGAGGGTAAAAAACGAGGGTCAACATCGAGCAATCCATGACAATACGAGTTACGCACATGTAAGTTGAGCCTCACGCTCTCGTGTCTCTGCCTGGTATGCTGCGTGAGCGGCGGCCTGCTCGGCCGAGCGCTGCTGAAGAACGTGAAGTTCATAATCCTTCGCGGCGAGCTCCTCAGTGTGAGTAACCTCCATGATGCCGAACGTGAGTTTGAGGACCGCCGTCTGGTTTTCGAGCGCCTTCGCGTGCTCCTCGTCGCAGATACGCTTGTTGTGGATGGCCTCCTCGAAGGAGTTCGCACCGAGAGCTTGAAGCGCGAGAGACTGAGCTGCTTGGTTGTCGCGGAGCTGAGACTGGGTAATGGCAAGCTGGGCCAAGAGAGACTTGTTGGCGGCAAAGGACGCGGTGGTCTGAGCGACGGCTATGAATGTGGCCCGACGTGCGGCCAGAAGCTCTTGGTCATGGCGACGAGACTGCTCGGCAAGCTCAAGAGTAGAAGCATTGCGAGCGGCTATGCGCGCGGCAGCGGACGCAGCAGACTGATATGTGCGGCGATGAGACCGGTCGACGAGCTCGGCGGAAGCCGCGTTGCGGAGGGCAACTTGAGCAGCGGCCGAGGCGGCAGCCTTGAGGACATGGCGACGCACATCGTGGAGCTGGGCGTCAAACAATTGAGACTGCGTAGCGAGTTGAGTAGTAGATGCCATATCAGAAGCAGCGCGGGAGGTCTGAAGGGCCACGAGCTGGAAGGCGTGCCGATGAGCAGCGAGCACAGCGTTGTTCTGGTGCTGGGTGAGCTGTGCCTGCGTCCGGCGCTGAGCAGCGCGGGCGTCGACCATGCGAGTGTAGTTGCGGTTGCCAATGCGCCTGAGGACATGGGACTGACGATCCTTGGCAGCGAGTTGCTGTTGAAGACGGGTGAACTCGAGGCTCTGATGTTCGGCGTCGAGTCTCTTGCGACGAGTGCGACGTCGCAAATGGCGGACAAGGCGGACAAAGACGGTAAAGATTACGACAATGAGCGAGTAGAGAACGAAGTAGGGGATGAGGCGCGCGAGCTTCGTGAGAGCAAGCCAGCGGGCGTCGTTGAAGTCCCCGAGAGAGAGGCCGTGGGCGTGGTAGTCGATGTGGCGAAGGTTGGGCATTGTAGTCGAGAGCGTTGATGTTCGATGCAGATATGGGCCATTCTTGCGGGGTCTTATAGATGTTGCCCGACATGTCTAGGACGAGCATAGCGAGTTGGACTAACAGTCAGTCCGGGCCTCAGTTAATCGTCACGTCTGGACTTCACCCGCTGAGACAGTCACTCGGCACTCAGCCCTTTCTTCAAACTGCCTGTAGAGGCAGAATAGGGTATTGAAGAGTAGATATGGCTCCATTGCGCCGAGTAGGAAATAACGACCCAGAGTCCTTCCTCACTGTGCCGCGACGTCCCATAGGCAAGGGCAGGGACTAAGCCAACTTGTCGATGGTGGCAGGGCTAAGCTCGGAACAATCCGGCCCGATGACCGGGGAGGTACATCGGCGATCGGCACAAAACCCGAGGCCTCTCCTTGACCGATGACGACGACGTGCTGTCCAAAAACATGGGCTGCTGTATACCCTTCATCGAGCAGCAAAGCCGTCCGTGAAGAGTCTGACGCTCGTAGCAATATGTGGGAACGCCTCAGCTGAGATGCGGTTCCCAAGAGAACTCAAGAAGTAAACGTACAGCCACTTGCGATTTCTACGCGCTCTACAGCTACGATACCTCTCTGTGCGGCTTGGGAACAGCACTTTCCGACTCAGAACTCTATGTGAAAACGTGTCCGCCCCTACATCTTGAGGACCCCTCGAGGTTGGCCATGGGATCACTGGCGCCTACGTAGACCTTCTTCAGCGCCCAAGGGATGCGGTATTTAGGTAGCACACAAAGTCCGACGCCTGCTGTCACCGCCTTCCCATCATCACTGACAACTGAGGCTCCCGATGTCTCATCCAGCTCATAAACGCCGTCTAACCAGACCCATGCCAGTCCCGGTCAAAGGGCCTCTGGAGGCAGCTCCGACCGTTACTGTAGCCTTGCCGGCCAACAATGATCAACTGGATGCGCCGTATACTACACCTTTCATCAAAGATGTCCGATACCTTGGTTCATACGACAAGGTCGAACAAGACTTGATCATAATCCCCGGTACGCCGACATGTCTGATTCGTCCTGCCTCCATCACTAACGTGAACGGGATGTATATATAGGATCTCCACGCATATGGACCCCACCTAGCGTCCCTTTTACCTTGAAGCCCGGGAAGGCCAAGGCGAACCGGCATCACCGCATAGATCCCACCGCGCGCGACTTGCATCTACTCTTCACGGCGGTCGATGTGATGGGCTCGCCCATATCATGGCCAGACGTCGACATTATCTCCAATCGCCGTGCCCTGCGCCTTCTTCTCAGCTGGGTGCATGGTTCCCGAGACGCATTCCGGATAGATCTGCAACCCCTCGGTGCCCGCACGCTCTTACTCTGCGAGGAGAAGATAGACTTCAGTCACCAGAATCCTGGATATGGTGTCGTATTCGAGAACACTGCGACAACACCTATGACTGGCACCGAGAGAGGGCTCGAGCATAGCCGTATCATCCAATACGTGAGACATACTCCCCATTATGCCGCCGGATGTACATGCTGATTCAAGCACGTCAATAGGACTTCATGGGGCTCAACATGGTCGTCCGCTACGAGGCAGACGCTCGCATGTCAACACTCGGGAGAGCCCCTGACTACGCCCCTGCCTTTACACCGAACGCTCTCAGTCCAAAGGTTACTAGAGCGGGAGAGATCGTTGCGCAGGAAGACGTCATAGAGGTTAAGTCCGTCACAACCAAAGGCAGAGCCTCTACATGTCCCAATGGCAAGATCACGGATGCGACACCACAACTTATCTTGTCCGCGACCCAGCGCCTTCATGTCGGCTTACATACCGCCGGAACCTTCTACGAAGTGGAAGAGCACCTGTGCGACGAAGAGGCCTTACTGAAGGATAGGACTCGCGAGGTGGGAGATATGCGAAAGTTGCAACGCGTTCTCAGTACTTTGAAGGAGATGGTGTGGAGGGGCGGCGTGGAACGCCGACTTAGCATCGTACATGGTAAAGGCGAGCTAACCCTCGGCCTCCATGAGAGGATCTCCACGGAATCTCTTCTACCAGCCGCGTATCAAGAACGCTTTGTCCAGCAATCGGTCACGACGCTAATACGATGATGTCGGTGGGGAATACATTTAGACACCTTCGTCTGAAGGACAAATAGAGGGCCGGCCTGGGTACTACTACTACGAAGTCCATTTCTTCTTCTGATGTATATGATTGGTGATACGAGCATGGTTTGGTGAATGATATCAAGGCGAGACTAGGGTATTCAGATCCAAGTCGCATACGATGTCGGGCGCGCAGACCCAGGTTCAGTCCGTCTCCCACCACCATTGACCCTCCCTCGCCGCGGCAGGCGAGATCATGTAATGTGTGACTTCCTTCTCCTCTCCCCACTCGAGTTCAGTGGCAATTTTGACTTTGTATCCGATTCCGGCGCGGCGCCCAGGGACGCCTAGGAACCAGAGCTGACCGAACGGCGGAGGCATTCGCAAATGCTCATCGAGAAAAGCATCGGCCCACGCGTCAAGCGCGCAGAGGTTGTGGGCGTAAGTCGCGGAGGAGCGAGCGCCTAGACTCAAAGCTCGTCTGTGCGAGCGTACAGTTGGTCGCACGGTCACAGATTCGCTGTCTGATGCGGGTTCGGAGTCGGAGGAGTCGCTGTATAGATAGACGGGCGGGCCACTGATGTCGAAGACAAAGAGGCTGGCGAGGGCGAGTAACCGCAGAGATTTGAATTGTCGGAAAGCATGACCCCAATCATCCTTCAAGCCCATGTCAGCCGTCTGTAAGGGAATCGACAGAAAGAACGCACCAGGCTACCTGGCAGCGCGCTATCTGTACTCATCCCGACCTGATCAAGCGCGAGCTCCTCGAGGTGTGGATGTCGCGCAGCCAAGGCGCGCAGAAAGTGTGGGTTGAAACCGTTCGCCCACTCGCCCGAGCGATTCACGACTAGTCTCAGGCAAAGAACGTCTGCATCATCGTCCGCAGCGACATCGTTCGCGTTCAGCACCCCACTTGTACCAGTCAGGTCGACGGAGAGACACGTTCGTCCACGTATTTTGCGCTATGGAGTCGTCAGACGGGATCTTCCCGATCAGGTATAAGGTGCGCTCACGGTGTGCGCGCGAATCGGCATATCAACGCGAGGCCTTTTCTCGTCGTCGCAAGATGTAGAACACGAGGCTGACGGATCTTCGACGACTGTGTCTAGGCGACGACGGGGTATAGTGGCAAGATCGAGCGTTTTTACGTCGACGCGACAAAGGTCTTCAATAGCGGTATGGAGCGTTTCATGCTGTTGAAAGAGATCAGTAGCCACAAAGGGCATAGCGACTGCGACGCGACGCACCTCGGGATCAGCAGGCAGCATAACTCAAAGGAGAATGTGAGGGGGAATAGGCCATCGCGCGCGAGGGCCGGGGCATACGCACCTTCTTATCTGCTTGCGATCAGGACGCGTCCACCTCCGCTGGTCATCAGGACGGGGCGGATGCAACGAGCTCGAGGGCCCAGACGATCGCGAGGAGGGCATGTATGACAGGCACAGTTGGCGTATTTGCGCCCGATTACCCGACGCGCACCCTCAGCGCGCAAGGGAACAGGAGGAAGCAAAGCGGGATCGAGCGCAGAGCGTCCCGCCATCAGACGTGTGCGCCTGCAATAGTTTCCGTAGCTATACGAGAACGACGGACAGACAGCGCGGCTGTGGTGCGTGAAGAGGAACAATGCCATGACACGACGCGCGATCGGTCTGAATGTTAAGCTGTATTTGGCAGGCGCGGACATGAGAGGATGGTGCAAGCGGGGTTGGCGGAAGACGCGAGGCGCGCACGCGCGGCGGCGGGTCTGAATTCGGGCGTTCGGACCAGCGATCAGTTACCGAGATCCGTCGACTAAGACAACGCGTGCAACCACGACTCCCCAAGATATAACAGGCTCAGCAGGGCGAAGGGGAGGCGGGAGCGGACGCAGGTGTTGCTCCGCGCGTCGACCACAGCGTGCGGCCGCGCGGAGTCACCGTTCGAGATCCTTCACTGGCCACGGCCTGTATCGGCCTGCCGTACATACCTGCCACGGATACAGATTCTCTGAACAGGAAGCCTCCGAACCGTACGAGGAAATATATGCGGAGGTATATGTGTGCGTCTAATAGATGTATGCGGTGCGGTTGGTGATGAATTAGTATACTCTCAGCTCGATCACAACTCCTCGTGCCCTCCTGCGCGCGTCGACGACGTAGCCGTACTAGATGACGCTGGTGTCGTGAAGCTGGCGCTGGCGCTCGTCGAAGGTATTTTTCTGCGTGGCGGCTTCTTTCCGATGAGGCGTTGTAGGTGGAGCTCGAGGACTTTCGCGCGCTCGCGCATCTCCTTGGTCTCGACCGCCGGATCCTCGTCCATCTTGACCTTCCTCTGCGCCTCGACCTTCTGCGCCAACCACGTCTCATGCTCTTCTAGCGTCTTCGTGATGCCTTCTAGCTCTTCACGAGTGAACTTGCCCTCGATGCCCTCTTCCTCCTCCTTCGTCAAGTTCGCAACTGCTTCCTTGAGGAACATGCGCGTGTGGAAATTCCACTTCTGCGACTCATTCAAGGCTGACGGGAACTCCTCGATCTCCTTGTACCGGTGCTGTATGGGATTTTCCAAGATCCTAAGGTCTCATTAGTATCTGTAACTGCAATCCGATCTTAGAACACGTACTGCAAGAGCCCGCGCTTCTCCAAGAGCGTCTTCGTATCCGCAGTATCCTGATGCTCGTGGAACCATTCTTGCACCTCCTCCAACGTCTTGCTGATAGCAGCGCGCTCTGATGGTTTTGAGCACTTGACGAAAGGCGTCTGTTCATCGGCGTTGATGAGATCACGCATGCGGTACAGGTAGCCCTCGAGGCCGTTGCGCTGTTCCTCGCGCATGGCGATCGCAGCTTCCTTCGCCTCTTGTTCTTGGAGACTGTATGGTACGCATCAGTAAAAAGGTACGGAGAGCGTCACAATAGCGTGACATACCGAGTGCGGGCCTCGCGCTTCTGCTCGAGGCTCATGGGCGCAACAGTCGGATACTTGACCGATACCGTGAGCGGGATGGAAAGCGTCTTGGTGCTCTTGGCAGCCGTCTCACTCGCAGTTGGAGTCTCATTGACAGACTCGGATGATGAGCTGGCCTTGTCGCCAAAGAAGCCCTTGAGCTTTCCTGGGGAGCCTCAGCAAAAGAATCAACATTTTCAGGCGAGAATCCGCTCACCAGCGATAGAATCATCCTTGGCGTCTGCAACGGCAACCGCCTCGGGTACAGAGATGAAGCCGGACTCGGAAAGAGCCAGAGTAGCCTTGATGACGGGCTCGCTGCCACCTTCGGCAGTGATATTTGCGAGAGCCTCCTTGACGCCTTCAACGCGCGTCTCGAGGAACTCCGTGGGGTACCCCGGCGCAATAGCCTGCTTGTACTGGAAAGCGAGGTTGAAGTCGTCATGGCGCTTGAAGCTCATGGTCTTGCGTGTCCCGGTCTTGCTTCCTGAAGCGAAAGCCGTACTATGGATGGTGCGTCCACTGGCACCGCCATCCTTCGCCTCGGCCGCATATGCGACCTGAACATCATAAGGGAGTACGTCGATGAGCTTGATGTCCTTGGTGCGGAAGGAGTGCGAGAGTGATGCTCCGTGAAGGGCTGCACCGAGTACAGCGGCTTCGTCGGCGTTCACGTTCACAGCGATCTTGTCGGCTCCGGCGGCAGCGTCGAGGGCGCGGCGCATCATGGGCACGCGGGTGTTGCCACCAAAGAGGATGACGGACTTGATGTCGTTCTATCGCCGTTCATTAGACGCCTATCCCATATGAGAGAGGCAGGCAACATACCATCGTGAGGTTAGCGCTTGCAAGCGCATCAGACAAGGGCTTCGCGAAAGAAGGTGCCAAGTCTTTGCACTTTGCCTCGAAGTCCGTGCGCGAGATCTTCGTCCTGAAGTCAATCTCGTCGATGAGGCTCTCAACGTGCGAGACTGCATCGTTGTTCGCGCTGAGAATGCCCTTGACACGATCCGCCTCCTTCCAGATCCTCGCCATAGCCCTCTTATCCGCCCGGATGTCGACACTCGGGTGCTTCTTCGTGAACTCCTGCAGAAGCATATCCCTCAACCTCCTCGTGAACTCCGTGCCCGACACGATCCTGTCCCAGCCAACGCCCTTCAACGCGACTTGTAGTGATTTGCTCTTGGCATCCTGCGAGAACCCAACAACCGATGCGCGAGTACTGCTGCCACCAGCATCGAAGATGACATGGTATTCGGGCGTAGACGTGAACTGGCGCGTGATGGCAAAGTTGATGGCGACTCCGGCGCTGTCACTGACGAGCGTGATAAGCTTCAACCCAGCGAGCTCGGCAGCGTCCGCAAGAGCATCGCGCTCGAATTGCGAGAAGAATGGCGGTACGGTTATGACGGCGTCGCGTACGGGCTCTCCAGCCGCATCGGTCGCAAGTTGCCGGATATACGCCAGTTGAGCTGCTACGAGCTCCTCGACATCCCATGTCCTTCCTCCAGGTTGTGGTACAGCGACGGTGAATCGTGAAGACGCGACGAGAGTCGAAGTCGATATTTGGTTGTAGTAGGTTACAATGTCCGCGTTGGCTGGTGCGCCGAGCAGATACTTCATATGATTATACGTGTCTTGGGGTTTCCGTGCAGCCTATAATATCCGATATGTCAGCATCTTGACAGCGCCGATGCTGCAAGGTGAACTCACGAGGTTATACGCATCCTGGCCGAACAAACGTTCACCGTTCTTCCATGCCACAGAGGAGTGTATCTTCCGCTTCGAGTCTTTATTCAATAGGACATCGAAAGGCAGGCCAGGCTTCATAAGCGACGCCTTGATATAATCGGCGCCATAATCAATGGCGAGGACGCTCGCGGCCGAAGCGGGCGTCACGTAGAGTAATAGAGATAGACATAGTGCGAGGTAGAGCGCGAGCCTTTGACATAGGCCGCGCATCGTTGGTGGTCGTCAGATGCAGGTAGGGTCGTAAGAGTGTCCGAGCCTAGATTTACAGCGGCAGGTTCATCAATGGATGGGTTCAAGTCACGAAACGTGGCTTGTTGACGTGTCGCGGCGCGTCCACGACGAGACCGCGTGTCCGCGCATCGCCACATCTTCGGCCAACTCAGCTGATCGTAAAGTATGTATGCCGATTGCTTCATGCGCTATGCAGTCTAGGGAGTATGTATAGTACCGTACGCTTCTCCCGCGGTGAACCCTATGAATCTGTAATCAGAAGTCCATGCGACTAAATGTAATGATGTCCGAGATGGTCCGTGGTGTAAAAGCGAGTACGGTGAAATGAGGGGTTCCAAGTGAGTGCAGGGGATAGCAAAAGCAAGGCGATAGCAGTTACAGGTAAGTGTCCTGAAAGTCTCAAACGATGCTCAACAACCATCTTTCATGGAGTTCTTGGGTTGAGGCTGCATGTACGCGCCGCCTGGCACTCCGTTCGTGCCCCAGATGGTAAGGTTGGGATTAGTATAAGCTTCCATATGCCTTTTCCTAGGTCAGAATCGCGAGCTTTCTGGTGAATCCATAATCAGACGTACTGGTCAATGTATGTCTTTGTAGGCGCGCTTGCGGGGTCGCACCCAACGTTCGTGCTCCCCTTTGGCTGGTACACCCTGACCCAGTCCACCAGCATGGTTGCCGGGAACGTGAGCGTTGTTAAGTCAAGGTTCCAGACGAAGTTCTTGGACAATCCCAAGTTCATGATGATGTACATCGGCTCGAACGGGACCGGCCTGGCATGGATCTCCGTCTCCGGATCAGCCGCTAGTCCGGCGGCTTCAAGTCCCCAGACGGCTGTGTCGTTCACGATCCAGGTGATGTACGCATCGTCCTCCGCATAACCGGGCTTGTACTCGAAACCGTAGTCGGAGAAGCATCCCTTCTCGAGCTCGTAGCAGTCCTGATTCGTAACAGACAAGCCTGACGTGGTCTGTTGGGTCGAGCCGCCAATATAATCGTTAAGCTGGGTTACGGTCTTGTCGGTGATGTGCAAGTTCGTCGAGTCGTTCAGCCACTTGTATTCGGCGTTGAATGGGGCCCATTGAGCAGACTGAGAGACTTGACCATAGCCAGCATTGTTTAGTGCTTCGAAGATGTCGATCTCGGGAGCGGCTCGCCCGACATAGGATCCGTTTGACAGAGTGGGGCCGGGATGGGGTTCACCGGGACAGGTACAGGCAGACAGGCGTTGTCCAGGAAGGTACGACTATTCTGTCGGTTAGCTACACAGCCGCGTGAATGTCAGATGGAACTGGCGTACCAACATATTGTTCGTTGAAGGGTCGCCGTTCTGAACTGCCGCGAGTGGGGTCGAAGTGCCAGGGTACGTTTGATTGGGCAAGGTACCAACGTCCTGTCAGCAGATGTGAGCGCTAGCACTAGTAGTTCGGGTGAATGCCTTACACAATGATCGTAGGTATAAGGCCACATGCCATCAAGAGAAGCGCCGTATCCTGCGCGGCCCAGATTGCCCATCGCCCAGCTAAGGTAAACATCAGCGATCGCGCACGAGCTTTTGGCGTATTGTATTTACACTGCTGGCCAAAGACCTCTGCAACAAAATGTAAGCACCGTTCCGCATGACTCAGGAGAGAGAGAGGAATACTCACGGCTTGTTGCTCGTACCCGGTAACTGCACGCTGACCTCGATCAAACCGCCGGTGAAGCAGAGCTTATTCCAGGACTGGATCTACTCGGCTCTTCAGTGTGGTGCTCTCTGAGTCGCTGCGCAGAACGTACCATTCCTGACATAAAGCTCATGTTATGGTTGTTGATCGGATCCGCCTCCCTTATCTGAAGGCGCAGGTATCCGTCCCGCGTAGTGGCCATTTGAGGGTCGTACCACTCGAGATCGTTCTGTCGACATACTCGTCTTCAGTTTAAGACTAGGCAAAGGAATAAACCTATGCAACACACCGTGCCCCAGTAATGTAAGTCCGCTGCAGTCCAGTACGGGTCGTCTGCGAGCTTCATCAGAATACGGTACATTGACTGAGACTGGCGTAGCCTTACCTCCAGGATAGAACGAGCGATTGTCGGTGTTGAACTCATCGCTGAACACAAGCTCCCAATCCTCCCCATCGCGGAATGACTTCTTCGTCTTGGCAGCATCCGGCGTTTCCGGATCGACGAGTTGCGGTAAGGGCATCTTACCCTTCGCCTGCATCGCGCCACCATTCCCAGATGATGAACTTGAGTTCCCACCAGCATTGCTGTTGAAGCCAATCGCATTGGTGTCTTCGTAGCCATTATCATCATGTGGGATATACGGACGAGTGTAGTGTGCGTATATTGGCCAGCCTATACTCCCAGTCAGCGCACAACCCAAGCATACATGGGCGCCACATACCGGCAAACAGCATCACCAAGCCGCCCGTCAGAAGAAACAAGAACCCGAGATTGCTGATGCCGCGCGCGGTAAAGATGTTGCCCCTTCCGTAAGAGCCCTCAAACTTATCGGGGCGATGCAGCTCGTCGTCTGGTTCTGGCGGGTCGGAGACGAGCATCCCATCGGCGTACAGGTGTCCAGTAGCAGAGATGTTCCACTGAAGAATGTTAAGCTTCGAGTGATACCTGCACAAAGCGAATGGACGCCTACCTCGGACACAACATCATCCCGCGCAGAGGCTGCCATCGACGGCGCTATTGATGGAGCCTACACAAACGGTCAATGGACGGTTCATCCTCCCACTGAGGGCACAGTACGCACTGCAGAGTCACGGTAACGCGGAGGAGGGCTCAGAGCGAAGTATGAGTCGCGTCCGGCCCCAGAACTTCCAGCTCCCGAAGATCCAGAGGCCATAGAGTCGCGCTGCTGAGATTCTGCCGGGTTGAAACTTGCCAACAGCGGCGATGACGGCGACGCGCCCGGGAAGCGCGGCGACAGTGGTGATTGTGGTAGCGACGGCATGGTAGCGCACGTCTAGGCGTCGGATACGGGCTATTAGGTACGGGTGTTCGCGCGAGTGTGTACAGACCGTAGGAAGAGTAGAATGAAGATGATGACTGGAGGTAAGGAGCGTGGTGATCAACGAGAGACGAGGCGAGAGTTGCCTAAAGAACAATTGGGTAAAGATATGCGAGGTTGCGGGTGAAAGAGAGAAGCAGATGCGAACCGGGCAGCGTTGACCACGCCACGCTGCACAACCGGAGACGGAAACGTTGGTGCCCCTATCCCGTTTTAGAAATACGCGATGATCGCGGTTCTTACGTCGGGCATTGTGCGCCGGTATCTGCGAAAGTACGACATCGACACTTGCTAGCACTGCTATTAGGTGCTGTCAGATGCTGCTGGTAGACAATACTCTGGAGGTCACGATAAGCCATAGTACTATGTGTGACCGACGACCGACGCGGAGCAACAGAGTTTGCGCCGCGAGGAGCTTTGCCGTTAGCCGCCCTTGTTGGCCCCCTTGCATACATCTTCGATATTTTAGCCGACGATGCGGTATGGCCGGCAGCCGTGGCGAGCGTGACCGGAGGATAGTTCTAGCACGGCGCTTGCCTTCATGTCGAGACCTTGCTATGTGCAGCGTTAGACAGTGCGTGCGGACTGTATACATTTGCCGATCCTCGATTGAAGCGGCGCTCATACGGTCAAAGGGAGGACATGGCGGCACAGGCAAGAGACGTGAGCAAAGCCTCGTCGCCATTGGCTGGTAGAGCTTTCGCACGAGTTTGATCGTTCCCTCTGACGAAGGAACACCCTCCACCAATCCTCCTCCCAACCACCATGATATCCAAGGAGAGCTGAGCGCTCATTGCCAAGGAGAGCTGAGCGCTCATTGTTCATCGATAATTCCATCTCTGCGACCGTATCACCAATTGAATGCAACGACATGTCTTCTGTCACTGTGGCGCCGTGGTCCTTGACGGCGACATCTGCCAGACTGTAAGTATCCGGAGAGCGCGATTAGTACTTTGATAGTTGTCTAACCATGGGGATATCGCATGTCAATCCACAACCTACTCACCTTACGGATGTGGGGCAGCGCGTGCAAAGGAGGTACTGACTCGAGCACGAATGCATCCCAGCCTTCCTCGAATGAAAACGTTGTGTTCGCGACCTTGTAGCAGGCGGGCTTGACAGCCAAAGTCGACTGACATTGACAACCGGCGTTCGAGTTAGTGCCGCTGACTCTTCGACTACACTGACTCACCTCCTCCCTTCATCACCTACTGCTCAAATCAACTTGGTGAGAGCACGCCGGTTCTACTATTCGAGCCACTTCGGCTGACGCTTTGCTGCTACAGAGTCTCGATCCCCCAGCCTATCCCACATTCCTTTGGCCGCACTCGGTCGTCTAAGTTCCAATGCGCGCAGCCTCGTCCACTGGCACGCCAGGTTCCCAGAACTCATCCCGCGGACTATTCCACCCGTACTCGCCCGCCTCGCCCGCCTCCGGTGCTTGGCTATTCTCAGACTCGTCAGAGGAATCCTCTTGGTCAGCAGCAGACTCTCTGCTCTGTGACGATGGCGTGCATCCAATTAGCGCGTCGTTCAAGCGCGGCGGTCTACAGCCCCCTCAACGTCTCGTCCTCTACCCTACCCCGACCGGAACTCTGGCGACTCCCATCAACGAGCGTGGATGCCCTACTGTCGCTCAGTACCTGGCCGTGGAGACGTCCTACGTGAACGACCACGCTCCCGCCCGTCGTCAGAAGGCACTGCTTAGCTATGAGTCGATGTGCGAGATTGCCCAAGTCCTTGCTTCCTACAACGAGCCCGTTATCCAACTAGAAGACGGCCGGTTATTACATGCGACCTATCCAGCCACTGGCATTATGGCCACTTCCGCCATGCGCCACTGGGCTCGTTCGAAGTTCACTCTCTCCCACGATGGCGCCGTCTTATGCAAGGGCAAGCAAGTGCTCGTTCGCGAACAATTCTACTCGGCGCTCTGCTGGGCGCATATGCAGAGCGCTCATGGAGGCCGCGACAAGACTTCGCGGGTGCTCTGGCGGTTCGCTGGCGTTCCCAAGGAGCTGATCATGCGCTTCGTCGCGTCGTGCCCGACCTGCATTGACAAGACCGCTGCTCTCAGGCGTACGGGCATGCACGTCGCTGCGAGGCCAGAGGAGAAGAGTGTGCCAACGCCTGAAGAGTCCGACGAGGGACCCGATGCACCCGATCCCGAGCCAACTGCGAGAGAACTGAGTCCCCAACTGGAGGGCGTGTCTTTACCTCCTTTGAGCCAACTGCTATCGAGCATCTTCCGCGATAGCGACGAGCTCCGCATGCCTTCTCGCGGTCCTACTGTGCTCGACTCGCCTACGAACTTTAGCCCGGTCGGCTCTGCCTTTGACGAAGTACCGTCCCCTCCCCAAGGTTACGTCTCCGAGCATATGGGTTATAGCGGCGGGTCCCTCCCGTCTCCTTCGGACGCAGACGTTATGGCGTTGGATGGGCACTCGGCCCTTCAACATGTGTTCTCTCAGTTTGATCATCCCGCCCAACCGACGACCGTCTTCGGTGGCGAAGCTAGCCCGTGGGGATGCCCTCTGTCTGCCACCAACGACAATGAAGAGGTCACCGACGACAGCTGTATCTCGGACGAATCGGAGTTCCCGTCCATACTAGACTACAGCTCGTCGCCGATCACGCAGGCTCCTGCTCGCGATGCGCTCATGTTTGCCTGGAGCACAGCTCCCATGCAACGCCAGGCCGCGACAGAGGGTGTTGGACTTTCACCGCCTTCTTCGCCGTTGATGCGCGGTTACGCGCGCCTCGCCTCGCCTATCGTTGAAGATTCGCCTTCAGCCACCGCGCATCTGTTGGGCGGATCTCCCTTGGCTGGTGGCGGGATCAGTGGATGGTCTCCTTCATCTGCGTTGTCTACATCTCCTGGCGTAGCCAATACAGGTCACTTCCCTTCACCGGTCTTCAATAACACGGCTATTCGGCTTTACGATACGCCGCTCACCCGCTTCAGCAACCGCACCTTCCAAGAACGGTGGGAGGCGATGTACTCGGCTCGCAACGTCAACCTCTCTCATCTGCAAGACCTTCCTCCCGTGCACTCGTTGGAAGGCACAGAGGGCCATGCAATCATGGTGGAGGACGATTCGTCGGCCGACGAAACTTCAATGGCGGACGCCCCCGCGGTGGAGTCTGCTCAAGGAGATGAATTGTCTCTGCGGGCGCCATCACTTGACATGCAGTACGCGGCGCTCGGCTTCGTACACAAGCCCATTGGTCGCGCCCGTGCTCACTCCCACTCGCTTGGTCTCGCGCTCCAGACGGACTTCTCGGCCGAAGGCGCGCCCACGCCGCCGCTGACGGCAACAAGCACTCTCAGCGCCCGTTCCCCCGTCTCCCCAGGATTGCAGACGCCTGCCCACTCTCTTCTCATGCAGATCGTTTCGAGTGGCAAAGACGACAGCTACGGAGCGAGCGCCCATGGCGTGAAACTTGAACCGGTCGATGAGAACATGCTTCCGTGGAACGAGGGCTTTCCCACTGAACACGATCCGCTGGCGCCTTACAACATGTTACATGACTGGATCAACATGGACTACGCCCAAGGAGTTGACGAACATCCGCTGAAGCTCGAGGATGCCGGGGAACAAGTGGCTCCTCAGGCCAGCAGCCACTTGTCGGGCGTCCCGGTTGCGTGAGGCCGGGATCAGCCGTATACAAACTTGAGAACCTTGTATCGGGCATCATACCCTTTGTAGACTATAAGATCCTGGTTGGTGAACGGATTCAGCAGATCGCGATGTACGATATGGCTCGGCGGCTCAGTGTATACTATTCCAGCCATCGTAGCATAGCACTATACCCACTTCTTCTGTATGACGTAGTGTATCTGAAGCGCCTCGCTGATCATAGTCGCGAAACTGGCACGAGTCCAAGCGTTGTCTAGGTATCGGCAGCTGATCGAGCGACCATATGTCAAAGTCTGTAAGAGTATGGCCGCTGTAGCAGCCAGCGGCACCGGCGGCAGCGCGCGCCACACATCTGTCTCCCACCATCATCAGCATCATCGAGAGCTGACTGTGCACAACTCTGGGCTTCTTCTGCGGATCTCGAATAACATACTCATATACTACACTGGGAACAACTGCTTGCCAAGCTTCCTGTTGTCCGATCTTCAACTACACACGTTGTCGGCGCGTACACTCAGTGTGATCCTTTGCTATGGCTCCCTTCTCAGGTGTGCTGCTCATCAAGAGACGTACAAGGCATGCTCATACCTAATGCATCGTAGTGGCTGATCTCAAGAGTCGCGCGAATGATGCCAAGAAACGCGTAGGCGAAGGATATGCTGCCACAAGGGACAAATACTCGAGCACGTCCAGCAAGGACCCTGGATATAACCCCCCGCGGCCTGGCAGCGGCGGTACACACCCGCCGCCGCCACCACCACCGCCTGCACCTCGATGTCTACCACACCAGTCGACTCCGTCTATAGAGCATGATGGCAGTGAGAGCGGGAGCGTGGACTGGGCGAACTTAACAGAGCAGGATAAGGAAGTCTTCTTCGGCTGGTTGGACGAGTTCTTCTCGCGCTATACTGGCAAACCGGTAAACTCTTTTGCGCCGCCAGGAAACACCAAAGCTCCGATAGCGCCGAGACCCGTCCACGCTGCTCCTATAGCGCCTGTCCTTCCTCATCGTACTACCTCGGACGCTCCTACGCCTGCTTCTCCTACACCTGGCTTTGCTCCCCCCATGCCTCCCCGCCGAACGTCTTCGCAGATATCTTCGGCGCCCCCAATGCCATCGCGACAAGTATCGCAGGTATCGCCTTCGCCTCGCGACAATGTACCCCCGCCTCCGAGACGGAATATGCCCCCGCCCGCTCCAGCAGGACCTGTACGTCGTTTATTTATGCGCTTGTCAAGTCGTCCTCGACTAAGATCGCAACCCATAGCCAAAGCCCAACTTCTCAACTCGACCCAGTGCACTACCGCGGGGATCATCGACTGTGTCAGCCGCGGTACCCGGTGGCGATCCGACTATCGACCTACGCATGACCTTCCCGCCTATACCGACTCACGGCTCGAACGCCGCTGACATGGCTCACTACTTCTCCGGTGAAAGACAATGGGGCCCTGCGGATAACTGGTACAACTCTTCTTCTCCTATACCACCCATGCCACCGGGCGTCCCTCAGAGTCAGACGCGTTGGGCCGCCTCTACGAGTTCTGGAGGCGGGACTGTGACTCTGAGTGCGAGCCTGGTCTTCGCGGATACGACCGTCTGCTACTACCGCGTGACATTCCCATCTGGGCATCACTCATCTGGTGACTCTCGCGTTCGTCGCGAGGCCTGGTACACTCTCCGTCCGCCATCTTTACCAGGCGGCCCACTTGTCGCTGCTCACAGTGCCTACGGCGAGGTCATTGCATCATTCGCGGAGAGTTACGCGGGAACAGGGCAATACGTCTCTCGTGGGGAATGCTGGGATCTAGCTCACGAAGCTCTGGAGGTTGCAAGGAGCCAGTATCCGGACCAGGCACCTGTACCAAGCATCTCTCGCTGCCACGGGCACTTGATCTACTGCGGCCGGCCCGGTGAAGGTCGTTGGCGCGGTGGCGACGGTTGCGTACGCCGAGGAGACGTTGTCGAATGGCGCACAGTGCGCATAGAAAGCGGATATGGCTGGTCCACATTGGGTGATCCGGACCATACGGCCGTCATTGTAGAGGACTGTACACCATTGTGAGTCTGCTACTCCTGCGATCACAGCACTCCACTGAAAGCTTCGACGGTTTCAGGGTTCCCGTATCAGATGGCAGCGCCCTAACACCTGCTGAACTTGGCGCCCTCACTGTTGTCGAGCAGAGCGTAGGCTCCCCGCCCAAGTTGGAGACCTATACGCTCTCTGGCATGACACAAGGAGAGATGTGGATCTATCGGCCGATCTGTATGCGCGAGTACGTTGGGTTCGAGTTCGAAGTAACACCACCCTCGGGCGCGCCCGTCATTTCTGTGTAGGATCGTAGAGAAGAGACAACTATAGTATGGACCTTCGTCGTCGTCGCCAATACCGTTGTCGACCAGTCATTACACCACAACATCTTCGCAGCCTGGTCAGGCGGCCGCTTGACGAACTGCTCGGTCGTCGACTCCGTTGCTCAGGCGACTTTACCGTCGCCGCAAATGATAACTCCGACGCTGCGCTGCTAAGCGACCTCGTAGTGTGATGTGGCCAAATGAAAGCCGCCACCCACAACTTCCCCATTTTCCGGATCCGCGCTAACGTTTTGGCTTCTTGATGAGGTAAATGGCCTCGCTTCCTCGCCGCTTTCATATAAAGCAAGGTGTGCAACGGGTGTGGCTCGCCTTTCGCCCCTTCCACCCAGTCGTCTTCCATCCGTGCGCTTTGGCATGCAAGAGCAACTGCTCTACTAGTTCGAGCAACATGCAGGATCAGGCGCAGGAGGACAGCACTCTATGTGAGTTCGCTCCGAGACTTCATAGAAGTATAACAGGCGAGCCGTTCTAATCCCTCGTCTGACGTAGGGGCGAACTCTAAACTGGTGCACGTTCTTGGTGAGTTACGTGCTTCCGCAACCGATACCGCTCGCTGACCCGCATATCTAGCCGGTATCTACTTGTCAGAAGTCATTTACTTCAAACATGCCGTCTTGAGCGCTGACATGTACAATGCAGATGGGAGTGGTTCACCACGCTTCCATACGAGTGGGAGGTGATGACGGGAAGGCGGCGTTCTGTAGGGATGGTGTCATTCATCGTGCGCGTCAATTCCCTTATCCAGATGCTCCTATTGACCGTTCGAACGACAGGTGTACATGCTTATACGCACACTCACCCTGGTCTTCCTCATCACGATCCTTGTCACTTGGAACCTCAGCACCCCGTTGGGCACAGCTGCCTGCAAAGTGCGTCCATCCGCGCTCTTCATCTCCGATTCCAGTTGACGTCGGGCAAGTTCGTGTATCATTGGGTATCGGTGAGTGTCTGTCGTCCTCTCCGAGATGGCCGAATCCTGATAGCGTTCATGCAGATCGTTGCGGCCCTGACACTCCTTTGTTGTGCTCTATTGATAGCGTTCCGCGCGTAGGCATCTCCGTGGCGTGCATTGTACTACATGGCTGACCCACAGACTCGGATGCAGGGTTGCTCTATGGCGAAAGAACTGGGTGGCGATAGGATGGATAGCCACATTATGGTCCTTGGACGCCGGAACTGCCATGTGGGGTACGTCTCCTTCGCAATCGTTGCTTCCTGAGATTGACCATGCCCTTCACGCTTCATAGAACAGACCATGGTGAGCTAGCGCGTTCATACCCGTTTCAAGTGTGACACTCATCTGGAATGCAGGGGACGCCGCGCTGGTCTGATGAGCTTCAACGGTGTCAGATCTTGAACACTTCGGCCTTCCGAGTGCCGCTACTGATCGACGTAATGGCCAACATGCTTCTCCTGGTGACCATGCTTCTCGGCCTTTGGAGGCAAAGGAACGATACTAGCCTCTGGAAACTGCTAAACATACAGGTGCGCAGTGGTGAACATTGGACTCATGCACAGGTATCTTACTGGGACACTCATAGGGGTGGTCTTGGCTGGTGGTTGCTTTACTATGCGAAGTTCCTTCAGTGGTACGTCCTCATCCATAAAGGGTCGCGCTCCATTCACTGATCTTGATCTAGGTCTTGAATTGGCTGAACATCAGTGGTAAGCCTTACTGGACCACATTAGCGACAAGTGACTACTGACCTGATTCTTCAGAGGCCTGGAATATAGTGAGCTCTCTCGGTCTTTCCGGTGCTGTCGTGTAAAATTGACTAAAGACGCTACAGCTCTTCCAGACCCCACACTGTGAGACTACCCTATCATCTGATCATCCACGACTCTGACATGACCACACAGTGGTAGCATTAGTGATTGTATGCACACGTATACATCGCGGACTCGTCGTATACATGACCGATTTCGACAAGTAAGCTCTTTCATCCGGTCACATTTAGCGTAGGCACTGACCACAACCTATAGGGGATCCGACTCTGTCTATCAACACCGCCAGAGGCCATCAGAGTTCGAGTTCGCAACTCCGCTCCAGGTCAACGTGCGACGAACCGTGCGCATTGACGTCGAGTCTGAATACAGTCCCTGCGAGTCGGCCTCAAGACCTACATCCACTAGTTACAGCAGTCGACGGCAGTCCAAACCTCCGCCATCGAGGGCGCCGTCGATATCATCATCATGACCCTAAGATCCATATAATACACCAGTAGCCGTACCATGTAGTATGGACATAGGCGCACAGTCAGCTCGTTTAAGATTAATATCGACGCCCGCCTCCTGAAGCGAGTGATTGGTCTACGAGATCACCAGCGGTATCTAGAGAGCCTATGTACAGAAGATGGCATCTTGACCATCGTAAGTGTATATGAAGTCTGTACATCATGGTATTCGAGATTTTGTCCGTGTATGTGGATTACTCAAGTCCCCTTCCGACTGACAAAGACGAACTAAGCTGAGAGAAGGCCCATCCTTCAACAGCTGAAGAGATACAGATGACCCAGTTCCGCGCGCATCCAAGCGCCCGGGCGTGTCTGGCTCATTGGAAGAGCTCCTCGAAGTCCTCGGCGTGTGCGGCGTCCTGGGAAGGGCAGGATTTGTGGCAAATAGCATCTCCGGGTCCGTCATGAAGGACGTGCTACCGAAGCAGTCAGACCACGCAATACGTATTGACAGGCGGAGACACACCCAACGAAGACGCGGGAGAGATGAGTTGTGCCATTGTGGTAGGGCTCGAGTGCCCGATATATGCGCGTTGACGCGACAGACCTTAAAGGGCAATCAGCACGAGATAGCCCAAGAGGTATCGAAGCGCGTTCAGAGACTCACAGCAATATGACTGGAAGGAGGTACACAAGGCATATGTCAGACGAACATGAAATCGAGGGGGAAGGTTGGTGATGCATACCAGCAGGTGCATGGAACATCTGAGAGGATCATGAGACGGGCGCAGAGCAAGGTAACAGTCAAACGCGCTCACCAAATTCATGGCATCTGGATCAATGAGGTTTGGGGCATGAGCGTCTGAACATCATGGTCCAACGCGGAAGAAGGCAGCCGACGCACCATCAAGATTTACAAATACAAGTACCTAAGATGAAGATCAGTACCACGGAGAGGAATTCCAGCACAGGCAAGACTTACAGTGAAAGCAAGTTGGAGCAGAGTAGCTACCGCAAGAGGGGTAGCTCCCTACAAGGGAGTACCGGTGAATGGTCTGTATGTACGAAAGGATCCAGGGACTGACTAGACGGTATAGTTTGACCCAGAAAGATATTACAGCGATTGAAGGCAGCGTGTAGCAGCCCCAGAGCAAAAGAGACATGAAGAGGATGTTAACGACAAGGAGAATGAACGCCGGGGCGCGGAGGCAAACTGTGTCTTGGACAGTGCACAAAGCCACAGCGTAGTCCCATGTAGAGTGTGCTTTTAAGATACCTGTCCGCGAAGCGCAACACGACTTCTCAGTACAGCGCTATGTAGTGAAGAGGTAGTAAGCTCACGGTATAGCGAGCCTGCTGCCGCAGCTACCCATGCGACTGACACGCCAACTTGTACTGGTCGGTTACCGGGCCATACCAACGTTCTGAGTGAGGATTCAATGTCAGGTGAGAAGGGGTACATGGGGAACCTACATTCGATGCGCGAGGATGAATAAGGCGCAAAGGGCCGAAATAGACGATAGGAACTAGGATAAAGCTTGAGCATATGGGTGGCTGAGACATGCATGTAGCGCACCGCGAGCGTCACCCAGATCGCCTGGCAATATGATGGACCGGGAAGGTTCATCATTGCGAGAAGAAGGCTGACGGAGACCAGTGTGGCGAAGCGGCACGCAACGTTGCACTGACAACAATGGTAAGTTTGGAGCCCAAAGTGGTATCTATGACTGCCACGCACCAACGCCATCCACGAGCGCTTGTCTTGTCTTCTCAGATACGTCAACTCATAGCGGATATCCTTGAAGTAGTCCCAGCTGAGACATGGGCGTAAGCATAGACTTCGGGCTCGATGCCATCACGACTTACAGGTAAAACCCACAAAACACATTGTTAAGGTCTGAGAGTGCGCGATATGCTTGGTGGACGGTCACTTCGGCCGTCCAGTGGACCATACGGAGGCTTCAGGGCGAGCAACTCTCCAACCGAAGACTTTTGTTCAAAGGGCCAGTTGACTTCGTCGTGGAAGAAGAGAGACCAATAATACGATGGCGGCAGCGCATCACTCAGGGCTCGGGCACGGGAGGGCGTCGAGGTGGTTCGGGCGCGAGTTCGGCGGTCCGATGACCGTGTGGTCTTCCATCACTGCGAGAACTCGATGTCGGCGCGGGCGAACTCCGACAGGGCGAGCGCTCAAGCAACAGAAAGTCTGTTCGTTATCACCGGCGTCTATTGTGCAGTTAACATGGCAGTACGAAGGAAGACGCGAATGGGTCGCGGAAGCATATGAGTAAACGTGCGGGGTGTGGCATCCAAATATTGACTAGGATAGCGCTCGAAAGAGTAAGATATTATAGGTACTTATGTGTACAGTGTATCGAGTACTTAGTTCTAATCTCCTCATTTACTGCGGGCACTCCTGCATCACCACACGATTTGACTTCCAGCACCACCCCGCATCCCGACGGTCTGCTCCATCGCCTTCGCAAGATGCACATCATTCGGAGCCGCATCCCCCGCCCACTCCCGCACCCATCTCAACAGCTGATGATATTCCCCGCCCTGCGTGAGACCAGCCGAGACCTCGTTCGAGAGCGCTTCAGCGAAGTATACCAATGCGAACGCAATGATTTTGCGGTCGTGAAAGCCGAGCTCCCTGGCCCATGCCAGAACCCGCGCTTGGTCGAGCTGGGGGCCGAGTAGGTGAATGTATGCGCGTAGCGTAGCCTTTGTAATCAAAGCCGGCTTGCTGGCGGAGGTCGCGAGGCGAAGAGGTTGGATATGCGCTGGGTCTTCGGCCATCGACTCGGCTTCCTCGACGTCGCGATGGAAGACCCGTCTTGCGAGACCTCGGGGTGTCCAGCGGTCGCTGGGAACAAGCTCCGGCTCATGAACGCTGCGCAGGCGTGGATGCTCCTCGAAGAGCAGATACACGAAGAGAGCTCTCGCGCGCTCTGCAGCAGGAGCGCCGCGCCAATTATATCGCTCCTTCGAATGAAGCGCCTCGCGCAGTTTCCGCAACGCCTCTTCCCGCGTTTCAGCAAGTGAACGCGGATCGATCCTCCGGCGAGGAAGAAGACCGGCACCGGAAAGTGCCTGTCGGAAGGAGTGCGAGACACTCTCATAATGCGTCTGCACCTGGCGCGCGGCAATGAGCACGGCTGCAAGACTATTGGCGTCTGGCGAAGAACCAAAGGCAGCTCGCCCATGGTCCCAGACGTGGAACGGCATGTGTTCTTGACGGCGGTGCTGCATGGATGCCACGAACGCATTCAATATATCGGGAGATAGTCCTCCGTCCGAAAGGACAGGTTGACGCTTCGGCGTTATCCGGGGCAGACGGCCCGCTTTGTGCACACCATGCATGAGATCCAGGGCCCGCTCACCCTCGTCAGATTGAACGAGGGCCTTGACGACGGTCACCGCGGCGACTCGATCAATAGGCACGCCGTCCTTTGACATGCGCTCGTAATGACGCACGATGCGTTTGTCGTCCTTTCGGAGAGCGAGACCATTCAGGAGGATCGTGTAGGCGTAGGCGTTCCGCAAGCCAGCGCTTCGAGGCTGCCAGAACCAATTGAGCATATCCACAGAGGATACGCGTTGTACGTCCGTGGACATGCCAGCTAAGCGACCCAGCCAGGCACTCTGGCGTTCATACGCTGGGTTGGACGGTCGTTCGTGCAAGGTACGGGCCCCGGCGGTTGGAGCAGTAGTGCGGGTGTCCAGAAGAGCGTGCAGATATTCGACGACAGGTCGAGGTGTTGAAGCAAGAATGCTTTTGCGTAGATGATAGTCGATGTGATGGCGTTTGGCGAGTCTCGCCAGACGCTCGTGACGGGTGTGTCGGAAGATATGGACAAGCTCGTCGGCGTTGGGAGCGCCTTCCTTCCTAAGGCGCAGGTTCTTGCCTAGCTCGGCCGCAATGTATTTGTTCTGCGCGAGTTTCCGATATGTGGGCAGAGAAAGCCGAAGCTTTCGCTCGTGGATAACTTCCAGCACTCGTTGAACGGTAGGAGCGGTGTGGTGCGAGACAGCAGAGCTGTCGGTATACCGGGCCGTCATGCTGAGGAAGCGATCCAGTGGCCAAGGGTCTTGGAAGATGGAAAGGCCACAAAGAACGGTGACCAGACGCGCCAGAGGCGCATAAGCACCCAGGGCGAGTGATGCCCGTATGGCCGTCAAGAGCAAGACTGGGCGATAGAGCTCGGGTGCACGAGGAACGGCCGCAAGGAGGAGGTATGAGAACCTCTGCGCATCGTCTGTGGTCCGTAATGCACGCGAAAGACCCAGTAGGACCCAGACGGGGATGAAAGAGGGGGTTTCCCCATCTTCTGCTGGTGTTAGGCTGCTGTCCATAGGGTCAACAGCAGCAACGGTATCGTGATCTGTGGAGCTAGTGAGTTCTGTACTTCATTTAGACAGCATTGCTGGCTTACTATCCCGCTCAAGATGGTGAGCTATATCTGAAAAGCTCCCATCCCGTAGATTGCTGGTCCATGATGCATACTCATGTGCCGGGATTCGAGCAGCAGCGAGAGTGTCTTCATCAGGTGTATGGTCATCCTTTTTGGGTATAACTCTGAAGAGAGGGTCTCGAGTATGTTCAGAGTAAAAGTCGAAATCGCGTTTGAGTTGTTCGGAGAGCAAGTCCAGCGAAGCGCTGTCAGGAAGCACGGTTCTGGCGAATCCAGAGGCAGAGAACGGAGCCGCGCAGCCCGGTGCGCGCACAAAGACTTTACGGGGGATGCCGAGCGAGTTTGTGAATATTTGACGAAGGGCCTGCATCCACAACGTCCCTCATGGACGTTCAGGACGAGGTGTGCGACGCGTCGAACGCGAAACTTCGGACGCGCGTGAGCGCGTCTCGGCACTGGAGATTTTTATCCGGATATTTAGTAACGACGAGCACGAATGTGATGTGTTTCTTCCTCAGGCGAGCCTTCGAAGGCTAGTACAAGCCGCACATATCCTAGCAGCGAACAACAGACTGGTGGTAGTAGTTCCAATCGACGTCAACGTCAATCCGTAAACGTTTACGTCGGCCCGGGCGCCGGTGGAGGCGTGGGACGACAATGATGGAAGCCGCCGGCACCGTCGCGTCCGCGAACGTTGTGTTCGAGCATCCATGGCCATAGACGGGACACAATGCTGCGATCTGCGTCCACTTCGCAGCGACGTTGAAGGCGCACGAGATATCAGAATATACGCTTTGGTCACGATGTTCGCAGGATCAAATCTGAAGGCGCTTATGAACAACTTCTAGACTGGGTCTGCTTCTGCCGTCCTACAACACGAGCCCTGCGGCCGACCCACCCCGGTCCTTGTACCTCCCCTACCACTCACCAAACATGCCTGTCTGTGGCTACGTCAGTGGCATGCAGTCAGATATAAGGCCTCAACGCAAGACCACTGGGTGTTCGATCCATCTGACATCGGCACCGAATGTCCAATTTCGCTCAGCGTGGTTCCGCGCGAGGGGGCTATACAGGAGGTGTTTTCTCTAACTTGCACGGGAGTGACAGTCAAAAAGGCTCTAGAGGCAACCGTCGTGGACGCGGATATGGTAGAGGGGGGTATAGAGGTTCTATACCGGTTGTTTGGCCGCCACCAGATGTCGATCGGCCGGGAGACCGTGTCATCACAGAGGGATTGTCGTCATCTGCTCTTGAGACTCTGGAAATACCGACGATAGGTGCTGGTGCGTCAAGCTTCTCTGGAGCACTCCAGGAAAACGTCGAGGTCGGTCTTCACCCAACACATGCACATACTTTCTAAACTAACTTCCTCTCTGACAGTACCTTTGCTCGTACAACTTCGTCGACTCCGAAGGAGAACCGACGATCTTGGTTCCTGGTCAGTGCATAATCGCTACGTGGCTCCTGTTCCAATGCAGATGTTGATTTGTTCCAGGAGCTCCTCCCGTGTGGAATAACCCAAAGGTGCCATTCACGCTGCGACCGGACAGGGAGATGACATATGTCGATCAAAACTCGTTTCGCGTACCAGCATGCACATACTACCCTATGTTTGCTGCTATCGAGTCCATAGGATCCGCGATCTCCTGGCCTGACGTAGACGTTGTAACCGATCGCAACGGGTTGCGCAAACTCTTGCGATGGATACATGGCAATGCAACGCGGGAGTTCCGCATTGACCTCGAGCGTGGAGGAGACAATACCCTCTTTCTCTTCCGCTGGGAGAAGCGTCATCGGGAGATGCCTACCGGCAGGTCATATGGCTTCACATTCGAAGAAGAGACTACGAACGAAGTACCCGGCTGCCAGGGGAGCACTGGACATCATCGCGTCATCAAATACGTGAGTTGTACTCGCCTCTACTCGCGCTCTACTCCCGTACCGAGTGATTTATCTAGGATTACTTCGGACTCAGGATGGTGGTCCGCTTCGAGGTCGACGCGTGCGCGCGCGTGCCCGCCAGTGAAACGCAGCCCACTGGCCGGGTCGACACGGACGAACTAGACTCGCTGCTGGACTCCCTTGACGTTGGTTCATCTCGCACGATCCCTCCTGAAAGCGCTACTCGTACTTCGTACCCCGTCAAGGTCATCAAAGCAGGCGCAATAGTGGCCCAGGAAGATCTCATCGAGCTCACGTCGCGATCCGTCAACTACGTCGACCCATTCGACTGGGAAGAACAACTTCCTCAGCTCTACCTATCGTCCACGCCCCAGCTATTTATAGGCGTGCACCAGCGCGGCACATTCGAAGCGGTACGCGAGCACGACCTGAACGATGCGGCGCTGGTGAAGCTGCGGCGCGACGCTGGCTCGAGCTATGAAAAGCTTGGTCGTGCGCTGGAGACCATCCAAGCCCTTGTCGCAGAGTATGGACCGGATGAACACCTCAGTCTCTTATGCAAGGACGGCGTCCTTAAGCTATACCGTCGGACGGATGGGCAGTCACGTTTGCCCGCGGATCTCCGCGAGAAGTTTAGTACAAAGGACTGAATAGTATGTTAATATGCGTACTACACGTCTCATCGCGAGTCCATTATGGTCGTTACTGTCCGAGACTACACTAGCAAATGTCCAACATAAATGCATTTAGAGTCCGTATTGTCCATCTATCAAACAGTCCGCTACAATCTGCTTATGGAGCCTCTGGCAAGTGAATACATCGCATGCCCAACCTCAATGTCGACAACTACAAGCGCCCTAGGGCTAGCCTCGGGCCCTGAGGGTAACGTATCGAGGTCAGCAGCCTGCCTCACGTTCCCCTTCGTCACGGCCACGGTGGCCAGTGAATCTGTCTGTCCCATCTCGGCGCTGTAGTGATGTCAGAACAAGTACAAACCATCAGCGGAGGCGACGTACCGCGCAGTAGGAAGGGTTATAGACGATGTCGCGCCTGGCCCATGTTCCCGAGATGTCGATCTTGGTGACCCGAGTACCCTCGCTTTCAGGAACACCTTCAGGTACGACTCTCGTGCGGCCTTGGTGAGGCCGAAAAGTAGGAAGATGGCGATTGAAAGCACGACGCCCGAACACTGGTTCCAGTAGATGTTGAATGACCATACGACAGATATCCGCCACTCGGTGTCAGCCACAGTTTGCGGCGCCCACCACTGTTTCACTATGTCCCAACCAGGCCAGAACTGTGTGCCATCGGGAAACCCCGTTATGATGGTAGCTATTCCCAAAGGTAGTACGAGAACGACGTCTACGCAAGCCAACGCAAAGATGCGAGTGTAGTGAGTTCGTTCGAATATGTCGCCACTCTGGTGTAGAATCCGGCTTGTTGCGCGCTGGTGCTGATACAGGTATACAATGATGCGCCCTGTAGAAGTCATGAGTTGTAGTATGACAAGCGGGAGACACAGAGTGGACGCACAGCCGTACAGCAAGATTGACAGGAGTGGTAAAATGACTAGCCAACTTTGAAGAAGGATGAAGGCAACTCCACTCGGGAAGATGAAGGTGGAGCAACCGTAGTTCTCGATGACCTGGAAACGAGCACCTTGAACAGGGTAGTCTTACCGAAGACGGTATTTGGTCAGTAGTCGTACATGTTACACACAATCGTCGGTGCACATACATAACACCATGCTGAGCAACGGTAGCCCGATACCCATGAGATAGTCGAAAGTGACGCCATTGCATGTCTGTTCGTCGTTCAGATGACTGAAGAACTGTGAGAAGTGGCATGCGGTCTACTTGCCCTTTCGCTTCGACCTTCGGGACCGTCGTGAATCGCAGACCAAAGACGGCGAGTGATCACGAATGAGCAGGCTGGTATGCCAATCGTCGATCCTTGCCAAAGGTGTGACGCTGGAGAGCAATCAGTCCAGGCTCCTCCTGAGGGTTCGACAAACGCACAGATGTCGCAGAATACTGGGATCTTGATCTCCCACGAATCCCGCCATACGATAGATTGGATGGCCATGATCAAGACCTGGACCAAAACCCATCCTTCGAGCATGATGACGCCATGGTTGTAGGCCCCGCGATGGCTGTTCGACACGAGAGTGGCAATGAGCAGAACAGAAGCGACGATGTTTGCGATGGGAATCAAAGGGTACGTTGGGTCCCGCATGAACACAATGGAGACGTCTATAGCGATGTTGTTCTAGGGACATTGTCAGACTAGAGTTCGACGTGGGGCACATCCCTTGCGTGCGCACCTGTGAGGACCTTAGCGCGTGCGCGCAAGGAGCACCCGGTTTTACGATCACGCCCCTCAGTACTAGTCCAACTATTCCGGACTTTTAAGTGGGGACAAGGTGTGCGGGCAACTGTGGCATTGGTTTCGGCGTGTCTCTCGGCCTCGCGGGTTATTTATGCCTATTAGAAGGGGGTTGAGCATCATGTCGCCGGTTCCGAAGCGTGAGTTGCAGGATTTGGTGACAGGCGGGTCAGAACTTACGACACTGAAGTCTTGCGCCTGCACTGCTGCACAGCCCGAATACCCATAAAGAGCCACCACATCAGGTTGATCTGCCCATGTAGCTTATCTCGAGCTGCGTTTCCTCCCAAGAACCCCTGAGTCAATGAATACGTCTGCCGCTGCGCCTGTCAGCGTATGTAGGTTTGGCCCCCCAAAGGTTCGCGTATACAAGTCGTGCGAGCGCACTACTCCCCTGCGTCGTATTCCGCGACTCGTTAGGAATTGGGATCCGCACGAGGATCGCATGAAGGCGGGCACACGGTTCAAATGAACCGTTAATGACGTGTTGCGCAGAGAGTGCGGTGATAAACTCCCGCCGCATCGGTGTCACCGAACGCGCGCTCGGATGCGGGAGGTCCGCGAGAGGTGATGGTATGGTGCATGTAGGGGCGTGATGCAGTGGCCCAATGCGCCAGATGCGTTGCTCTTTACGCCGCCGTGCAAGGGCTGCGCGCTAGATACGAGAACGGGGTATGCCACATGCAATAGAAAACGTGACATGAGGATGTATGTGGTAGTAGGGCACCGGTTTGGGGGCATAACTGCAGTCTGTAGCCATGGACGTTCAAGACAGAGATGCGCGAGCTTCGTGTGGGCGCTTCGGCGTTTATCGGCCGATCCGCGCGGAGCGAAGGTCGGCGCTGAAACGCCGTACGTGCGAGACGTGTTTGGTTGAGTAGTACCACTACCTTCTTCCGTGACCCCGAACTGTTTACTGGCATGCATCGTATGTGGGTTCCTCCTTGGCTTCATCGTATCACGAGTGCCTCTCGGCGTCGTTCAATACACGGAGCTACGCCTGTTCTCCCAGGTCGATGATAGCAATACTTGTATAGAAACTGTCCAGTTGATGATACAGATGCATGCGAACTGTGGTATAAGGATCTTACCATACATTAGACTTCGCTATGCCTCCCGAGCTTATGGCATGCGCATCTATAGAACGGCCGACCTCAATATCAACCACCACCAATGATGTAGGGCTGCTCTCTGGCCCTGTAGACAACGTATCGAGTTCAGTCGATTGCTCTGCGCGACCCTTTGTGACGGTTATTGTAGACTGTGAGTCTGTTTGCCTGATCTTAGGGCTTGGACAACATCAGCTCCAGCCACCTTATTCGAGGGACGACGTACTGCGCGGTAGAAAGAGCCGTGAGTGGTTGAACATATACTGTAGAGCCTCGACTCGCAGTCGTCTTTCTCAAGGCGCCAAGGCTTTTTGCTCTCCTGAACGCATCCTTGTAGGATTCTCGCGCGTCTCGTGACAAACCGAAGAGCAGAAAGATGGCGGAGGCAAGAACGACGCCGGAAAACTGATTCCAGTATATGTTGAAGGAGTAGATAGCAGAGCTTCGCCATTCATCGTCGGTCACGGCTTGTGGAGCCCAGTACTCTTTCACGGTGTCCCAACCAGGCCAGAACTTGAACGTCACTCCGTCGTCGAAGCCCGAGAAGACGGTCGTTGCGACGCCCTGGGGTAGTACAAGGATGACGTCAATGCAGGCAAGGGCGAATATTCTTGTGTAGCGGGCGCGCTGGAACCTAGTGCTGCCCTGCTGCAGTAGATGGTGCGTGATGCGCCTGTGCCGATAAAGATACGCGATTATGCGCCCTGAGACTGATGTTAGAACATGGGCTTGGAAGGGCAAGATGAAGAGCTCACAGCCATACAACGAGATTGAGAGCACGGGGAAGATGACGAGCCAGCCTTGGAATACGAGTATAGCAACTCCGCATGGGTAGACGTAGCTGGAGCATCCGTAGTTCTCAATAACTTGAAAGCGTGCACCTTGGACGAGATAGTCTGTTCGCAGGATCGATGAGTGCATATGGCTCGAGATAATGTTGATACGCACACAAGATCATACTTAGGAAGGGCACCCCCAGGCCCAGAGTATACTCGAGGAGAGCTTCATTGCGCGTCTACTCGTGCTTGAGTCGTATGGCACCACAGGAGGGATCAGGTCCACTGACCTTCGAGGTATCCGCTACCAACTCGCGTCCTTGAACGGCGTGCCAAAGACGGCGGGTGATCAGAAACGAGCAAGCCGGTATGCCGACCACCAAAGCTTGCCAGAGATGTGACGCTAGGACAGTCAATCAGTGATTGGCTCCGGCAACGGGCTGAGCGCACGCACTGATGTCGCAAAACACTGGGATCATGATCTGCCACGAGTCTCTCCAGACGATGGACTGGATGGATATAATTGCGACTTGTGCCAGAACCCATCCAGCGAGCATGACAATGCCACGGTTGTGCGCTCCTCGTAGTTTGCTGGAGACGAGTGTGGTGACGATCATGGCAGCGGCGCAAATGTTTGCAATAGGGACTAGGGGATATGTCGGGTCCTTCATGTTCGTGGGTATGTTTAGAGAATGGGCGCTGGAGAGTTTATCAGTTTCAGAGCAAGCATGCAGAGTTGACACGCATACGCACCTAGGAGTATTCCACGGCCTTTGAGCACTCAGGTGCGTGATGGTGTTTCCAGTGGGCAAGGCGTGTAGGCCATCCCGTACGAGCGGAGGACTATGTAGGAGGGCGGTGGCTGTTGTGCTGGGCGCGGGTGGAATCTGATGGTGGCTTGCATCGGTAGCGCGGGTTGTTCAGACCTATACGGTATGAGCGAATCAGCGGTCCCGACGTGCGAATAGTAGCCGAAATGGGCGGTGGGCGGGTCAGATTCGGTCAAAGCCTATACCCCGGGAGGTTCTAAGCCGGCACTGCATCACGGTCCATATTGCCCTACAGAGACAACGATATCTCGTAAGCTGCGCCGTCTACCACAATAAGCTAGGCATGGTGCGGCCTATGGTTTCATGCATACAAATCCCATCACTGTGCGCACAGTCGACAGCATCCTGCTACGCCTGGTGACTCTGATAAGCCCCCGCACGTATCCGCCGCCCATTCCGAAGGGATCATCCATGACGTTTCGCGTGCGGGGAGAATGATGATCTTTCGATACATTGACACTCTATATCCAGCATGAATAGCGTTGCGGGATGGGTTTCGTGACCTGGAAGTATTCAGAAGAGTGAGCCAACAGCTGCACCGTAACAGCGTGCGGAGGCCAGTTGTCAACAGTCGCTATACGCCATCCAATCTGCTCGGCATGCAAAAAGTGTGGGCAGATGCCTAAGTTATCATTGACTGTTGGGTCGCCCGTGCGCGTGGTAGTCCTTGAGACCGGTGAGGGTAGTGGTGGTGGCCCAATTCAAGCCGCGTCTGGTGGGAACGTCCGTGCATGCGCGACTGACAACGGGCTCTTCCACGGCCATCATCATTCCAGGCGCACCTTGCTGACTAGCAACATGACCGACAAACCCGTGTACGCGATGAAACTCTTCAGCAGATATGATACTAAATGAATTGTATAGGTCTCCGTGGATGAACTGGGTTCAATCGCGGTTCAGTGACGAGGCGCTTTCCAACATATCACCGAGCCTTCATCTTGAGACTTTGGAGGCCGAGTATGCCTCTGTCGAACAGGCTCTCATCGAAGCGCGACGCTTGCGAAACCGGAAGGCTCCGGTTGGCAAGCTCCCCCCTGAGCTTATGTTGTATATCTTCAAATACTATCAATCTCTGTGCTTGCGGACTCCTTTTGACTCGGGTGAATTAATCTTCCATCCTTCCTGGACGACCATAACTTGCGTCTGTTCTGCCTGGCGGGAAGTAAGCGTGGCACTGCGTACATGCAAAGACACCTGAGTGCTGACTTGATCTCAGATAGCATTGAATGCTCCAACGCTGTGGGCGACACCCAGAATCGATGTTCTGCGGTATCCTCAGTACATGCCCGCCATCGCGTCACGCTCCTTTCCTCTTGCCTTGGACCTGGATCTGTCGACGTTTGAAACCATGCCCAAGATGCGGAGGCATACCGGCTTCAGGACGTGGTTCAGGTCGTCGCCTGATCGACCCCATTGCGAGAGGGCCAAAGGCCTTTCATTGCGTTGCGACGACAGCATAATTGAATACGTGGCCGCCTGTCTACCCCAGATGCGATACCTGCGTAAACTATGCTTGGACGTACGCTTTCCGTGGGGTGCGGGTTTGACCGTGCCGCGTACATTTTGGGAGTTCCACGACATAAACCACCTGACGCTTTCGGGATGCAACATTCCGTTGAATTCGCCTATCTTCTCTGCCCGACTGGTTCACCTTGAGCTCTACGGCGATGGAAAGGGGCCAAGGGAGAACTACCAGAGCGTGCGCGAGTTGTTTGCCTGCCTTACATCACTAGACAGCTTGACCATGAAGAACATCGTACCGCTCGTCGCCCCGCAAGACGGGCCCAACCTGGCAATCGCGCTTCCACCCACCCTCCGCACGTTACATGTCGCGGTTTCGAGTGCCCTCGTCACGACAGATTGCATGAAGTTCATGTCCAATCTTCGAGCGCCTGCTCTCTGTTCTCGCACTTTCTACGTCGACCAAGTCGATGGATTATTTGCGGGCGATGCGTCGTCGGACAACAACTTGAGGCGAATCTTCTCGCAACTAGCATCCTGCGAAGACGTTCAATCCAGAGCACAACACCTACACTTCAGTCACAACCGCGTGGCTCTTGCCTCCGTCGTATCGCCACCAGAGCTTACAGAAACTATACCCGAATGCACCGTCGAGGGGGCTGTCGTCAATGTATTCGGTATAAACGACAGCGACTGGATGCTTGAAAACCCTATACACGATCTTACCGGCATACTGGACCACGTGGGCCTGGATCATCTCCGCGTCATATCTCTCATTCCGGAGACGCTGCGGGCCTTCACCGACAACGATCTGTGGAAGCGGCTACTACGCGCGAACAACATCCGTCGCATCGACATACGGCTGCACGAGGACTTACTGGACGAACATTTCGATCAGTTGCTACTTGCCCTCTGTTATCGCCACACTGTAACAGAGAGCGGCGTGTCCTTCCTCTTTCCACATCTGGAAACCTTGGCTATAGACATGACGGGAGAGTACGAGAACGACAACGAAGAGTTCATCACGCAACTCGTCGATCTTGTTGGCGCACGATCTGCACTCGGCGTCCCGGTGCAAGAGATCATCATCCCGAAGTGGGTCCATGACTGGGAGGCACTGGACGATCTAAAGATGATTGTGAATGTTACAGCCCTAGATACCTACTCGTAGCACACAGTCTGTTCATGTTGCTCTCACAAACTACCACACAGTATCGCAGTATCTGTCTTCTTTCGAAGTAATGAGTTTGCGAGTGCCAAACGCCGATGAAAATACCGATTCAGTGAGACGGGTGTCCTGCGAGCTGGATTTGTGAACCAGTCTAAGTTGGCGGCGCGACGACGCGTTCGCCAACTTCCAAGGCCATTTGCTCCACCAATCTCGGAATACCCACGGTGCTTGAAAGGGATGGGAAGCCCACGTACTGCAAAGCTGCGTATGAACACATGTATGCACCTTAATTCGCGTTTCTGGTTATAGTCGCGCTGACGCTAACCCCAACTTGACGCGTCTTTTCCTCAGATCTCTACATATTCGCTCAACCATAGACTTGATGACACATACAACTTCGTGCAGGACTTGGCTCAGTTGGACTCCGACGAAAGAGGCTAGACAGACGCGCGGAGTGCATAGCGCGTCCTAGATCGCCCAAAGATGACCATCTCCGCGTCGACCATGCTGTACATAGGCTTAGGGCCATCGATTAATTCGTAGCTCTGTGGCGCATCGTGATCATCGGGTATTCGACGTTCAGTAAACAGTACATTAAAGGATTCATGGCGAAACCGTATAGTTGCGGATTGCTCGTGTAGCTCTCCATATGCACTTGGTGTGTACATAGATGTCTGAATACGAACCCGCTTCAATACGGCTGTGTTCGGCAGCGAGCCGGACAGCAAGCCGGCGGCGGCATGCAAGGCACATTAGGCTCGGAGAGCTCGACAGTCATTTGTTCCGCAGGCCCTCGCGACGGAGTGGCAAATGCAGCGGAAGCAAACGCGGGGGTCGGAGGGTGAAACATTCGCGACCTCTGGTCTCTCCGGGCGCAAAACCCAGCATTTCACCGGCCTAACGCAAAGCGGCACAAGCCGTCTCGCAACGTGCATACTCGCGAATGCCAGCATTGGGCGAGATGGGGGGAAGAAAGAAGGAGCGCGAGCATAAGGACCCAAGGGAGGAAGAAGAGGCAGTCGCCACGTGGTCGTTGATGCGTTCGAGTTAGGGCCGCGCTTAGCGTTCCTTGTTTCCGCTCGTCACCAACAGCAGCGAGCAGCCATGTCCCTGCTCGCAGAACCCCAGCGCGCCGCACGGCCAGCATCCGTGCAGGCATACCCGACCAGCGCACCGCCACCGTCGACGTCATCGCGCCGGCACCGCGAGCGAGCGTCCCACAACGTGTCGGCAACTCCCGAAGAGCGCGAGCGAGAGCGGGAGAGGGAGCGGGAGGGCAAATACAGAGACGTGTACAGTCACCCGGCGGCAGTCGCGTTCGCCACGGCCCACCCCGGCCGCGCGATCCCCAAATTTGGCCCGTATTTGTTGCTGCAGACGCTCGGCGAGGGCGAGTTCGGGAAGGTCAAGCTCGGTCTACACACCACATGGGGGGAGGAGGCCGCCGTCAAGCTCATCAAACGGCACAACATCGACAGCGTGGTCAGGATGTCCAAGGTCGAGCGCGAGATCGAGGTCCTCAGGGTAAGGATTCCGATTATTTCTATTCATTTCTCGCGATTTCTGAATAATGTGGTTGACTGTGCTGCTGTGCTCCCCCACAGATGCTGAAGCACCCGAATATCGTGCGGCTGTACGACGTCATCGAGACGGACAAGTACATCGGTATTATTCTCGATTACGCCAGCGGCGGAGAGCTGTTCGACTTTATTCTGGCGCATCGTTACCTGAAGGAGAAGGACGCGTGCAAGCTGTTCGCGCAGCTCGTCTCGGGCGTCTGGTATATTCATGAGCGCAAGATCGTGCACCGCGATTTGAAGCTCGAGAATCTGTTGCTCGACCGCAACAGGAACGTGATCATCACCGACTTTGGCTTCGCGAACAGGTTCGAGCACAAGGCAGACGACCTGATGCAGACTAGCTGCGGCTCGCCTTGTTATGCCGCACCCGAACTTGTCATCTCTGAAGGCAGCTACGTCGGCTCTGCGGTCGATATCTGGTCTTGCGGTGTCATTCTGTACGCGATGCTGGCTGGCTACCTTCCCTTCGACGACGACCCGGCGAACCCCGACGGCGACAACATCAATCTTCTGTACAAATACATCGTCAACACTCCGCTATCATTCCCAGACTACATCTCTCCGGAGGCGCGGGATCTACTACAGATCATGCTCCAACCCGACCCACGGCGCCGCGCTAGCCTGCGCCAGGTGATGGATCACCCTTGGCTGGCGCCATATGCGCATCTCTTCCTCAAAACGGTCGAAGAGCTCGAGCAGATCGCTGTCGACTTGCACAAGCAGAAGCGCATGCAGTACCAGCGCCAGATGCGCGCCGCCCACTCTTCGCGCAAGCAGCAGCCAGAGTACCTCTACGAGGCTTCACCAGAGCCCGCGCAGACGTCGTCACGCCGTGCAGCAGCTAGCGCGATCGTTATGCCCTCGGCACCCCCGTCCACACACGATGACGACCCGTTCGCGCCTGGGCCCGGTCTACTGCCGCAGCCGGTTGCCGAGTCGCCCGTTATGGAGAACGAGACACCCCGCCGGGCCAAGGGCTCAGAGCACCCGCCTGCTACCGGCGGCAGCACGCGTGGCAAGCGCGACGTCAGGCACACCATTCAGGTCGAGTACAATCAGCCCGAAGACGAGGGGCAGCAGCAACCCCAATCGCGGCCCGGAACCGCTACTCGCTCCAGGACCGCACCGGTACCAGAGCCTGTGGCAACACCGACGAAACATCGTCGCGCGTCGCAGCAGGGTGCGCCTGCGCCTCCGCTCAAGGACGCACAACAGCCGAATCCGACTGTCACCATCGATCATGCCAGCCCGCCGCCCACACCTGCGCCTGCTGTCGACATCTCAGTCTCAAACACTTCTTCGTCTGCGCCTGTCAGGCAACCGAGCAAGAGCAGTTCCGGTGGCGGTTCTGGAAGGCACCGTCGTGGTCTTAGCATTGATAAGATCGGGCTCGGGAAGATCTTCACCTCTCCCTCTACCGAACGCGTCGAGAAGCAAGAATCCGCCAGTCGCAGGCCAAGTACCCTCAGTGTTGGGCCTACGCCTACGACACCAAGCCGCAATGGCGGCAACTTCACCCGCGACGCGTCGTTTACGTCTACGACGACAGCCGATAGCGGCCGCGAACGCAACAGGGAGAAGGAGAAGGAGCGCGAGGCGGTCATCCCAGACAAGAAATCGCGCCGCAGCACGCTCAGCGCGCTCGCCAACCCCCTCGGTACACTCGGCGGCACATTCAGGCGCAGCGTCACAGCGCGCACAAGTGCGCGCGAAGCCTTCGCGCCGCAAGAGCAGGAGAAGCAACAAACACCCACAAGCGCCCCGCCGTCCAGCTACGCGCCGCCGGCGTCTAGCCCCGGCCCGGGCATTCTCACGAACGGCGCTAATAATACGCTGCCGCCCTCGTCGAGCCTTGCTGTACCGGGAGGTGCACCGGCTGTACCTGGCTCCGCGCAGGACGCGCCGGCCAGCAGTACCAAGGCGCGGAAGGTCATGCAGTGGTTCCGTACGCGGTCCAAGGGCGGCGACGAGCTCACCGACGACGGATTGTCGACGCATACAGCCGCCTCGCGCGGGTTCGGCGCGAGCAATACGAGCGTCAATCAGATACCCGGTTCAGGGTACAGTACCGGCCCGAGCGCGTCGTTCCTCGGCGCCAGCAAAACGCCCAAAGCGCCCAAGACGGGCGGCGCGTTGAGGGTGCATCATGGTGCGGTGGATCAGACGACTATCACGTCCGAGGCGCCCCCGCTCGTTATGGCGCGTGTGCGGGCCACGCTCGCGGCGCTGGGCATCGAAGCGCAGGACGAGAGCGAGTTTAAGATTCGGTGTGTGCGGCCGAAGAGGAGGGCGAATGTTGCTGCTGTGAGGATGGTGGGGAGCGCGGCGAGTGGGGGCGTTGATCGGCGGACGGGGTTGCCCGTGCCCGGGCAGGGGGGCCAGGGGAGTATTGTGGGGAGTACTGGGGGGATGCTTAGGGGGTTGTTGGGGAGGAGGGGGAGTAGTCAGGTGGTGGATGATTCGGCGGACGTTTCGGTATGTCGGCTCTTCGTGTGCGGAGAGTGGGGATGATGCTGACTTCTCGGTGCAGGCGAGCGAGACGTCGCTCGTGGACTCGAGTATCGTCTATGGCGATCCGTCGGCGGATGTTGGCGACGAGGTACGTTTGCGCATACGCGTGTTGCAGTCTAACTGTATGACTGATTGGATTATCCAGGTCCGCTTCTATGTCGAGCTCACCCGCATTGACCGGTTGAACGACACCTACTCGCTCGATATCCGCCGGCTGAAGGGCAACCTCAGGAGCTACAAGTTCCTGTACGACACCGTCCGAGAGTGAGTTGCTACCCTCCTGCCTGTCCTTGAGCGAGATGTTGATCATGCGCTACAGGCGCGTCGCCCTCCAACGATAGACGTCCGCCAATGGATGCCGCCCACACCCAGACCCACATCTTTATACCCACCATAGCCCTCTCATCGCCCGTTCTCGCTGCATCTCCCAGTATCATCTCGCGACTCGATCGACTCCCGCGCACCTTACTTACCACTTCACTACCTGCGCCCTCACTTCTTCTTTTCCACTGCGTACTAACCACTCTGACCTACCTACCTACCATGTTCAGGACTGTGCTCTCGCATCGCGCTCCGCTCCTTGGATAAACAGCTCCGTCCGGCATTGACAAACAGACTCAGACTCCAGTGGCCACCCTCATCCATGTCGTTTCCTCTTTCTGCGTACTAGTTCAAGTTCTGCGATCTGCACTGTCTTTTTAGTTTTAGCTTTAGTACTAGCGTCTTTTGGAGTTATCTTAGATTATGCATGCGTTTCGTTTGGATCGGTACTGGTAGTCGGTGGTACAACGGTGTATAGGTGAGGGTTGGCCGCTGATCTCTGTGCTCGGTCTCAGCGCTGAAGCATGTACACGGCGTCTGCGTCTACGATAGTCCTTCAGCATGAGGCGCACGTTCTCTCCAATGGATGGCATCGAGCCACCCCTACATCTTGTCTGCAGCTACAGTAGAGGGGTAACTCGGCATTACGCTCATTCAACATCATTGCATGCACGATGACCCCCACGCCGCAGCGCTCGTAGGCAGTGATGCGAGTAAGCGCCGACTCCTGAACTTGATCTGAAGCACTATCGCTGGCCGCAAGGCTGGAGCACGAATCAGCGCGTACGACGTATCGCGCGCTGAAAAGATGCTTTCAGCGGCTTGGGAGACGCGCCGTCCAGTGAATCGTATCTGGGCCGGGCTAGCTCATCTTCCGGCCGTCATCGCATCCCCCAAGATCATCATTGCGGGCCGCCAATGATAGACTGCGTAAGACTTGGATCCCCATGCTGATATGTCCAATTGGATTCAGAAGTTCGATGAAGCCTCACATTAGTGATCCTCAATTCGCCCCCAGAACGCCTCCCAGAACGCCTCCCAGAATGCCTTGCCGCAGTTGATAGCGGCGCAAGAAGCTG